TTGATAATGATTTAATTTCTATTGTGAAGAAATGGTTAGGGTCTATAATCTGTATGCACTAAGACACTGATCCCAACACATATGACATTCAAGTAGACCCCAATATGAATAAGCCAGTTCGGAACTAAATGATATACGTGCAAATGCACAACACAATAATTTCCTTCTTCCACCTCAGGATAAACAAGGTCAATTTAACATAGGAGTCTCATAATATAGATGGTTAACTATATTGACAGTTATCATTTAAAATGTTGTCGAAAGCAAGTTTTCTCAATTCATGGCATATATGAATAAGATATGTATAAGATCCTTTTCCAAAGAATGCCATGTTAACTCAATGCTGTTTATCCAGACGGAAGAAGGGAATTAGCATGTGCCTGTATAGTTCCAAACTGGCTTATTGATGCAGACAGAAGTGTTTTTTTTTTCGAAAAATATTGTTCTTTGTTTTGATTATGATTGCTTTGTTGTCTATTTATTTTACACATACCTATTTATTACTGCAAACATATGATCATTGTCAATGTCATATTGAGAAGATAGTTCCTATCATGGCGGCTAATCTGATACATAGATATAGCTGGCTCATAGAATGACTCTGACATTCCCTAATGATATGTTAATGCTTGTTGAACATTACAACTGAACATTGTATTCAGTCATTCTTATCAGATGTGTACAAACTACTGTTGTTTTTTTTACAGAAAGATGAGAATCTGATCCATTATTTTATCAGTAAGAAAGTAAAGTATATATGGGATGGCAACTGTAATGAATTCCGAGCTCTCAAGTGAGTAAATAAATAAAGAAGTATTCTCTTTTAAATTTCATTGCAAACTGGAAAATTTAGTGAACAGTTTTCAGATTTTTTTGGTAAAAAATTACTGTTCATGAAGGAATTGTATATGATAACTTACATAAATGTGAATAACAGAATTGTCACATTGTGAATTGCCTTGTTGTTTTCTAAAGATTTTCAGTTAATTATTCTATATTCTAAACAGACTGCCTCGTGGTTTATAGCAAAGAGCAATATAAATATGAATTTTTGTTTTCCAGGGGCTTAGAAAGTGATACCACATGTGCCTATTTACATAAAAGTCAAGGTCTAAGCATTTCTGAACAATCAAAAAGGTAATAATTTATTATCTTTCTTACAAGTGATGGTACGGGGAGTGGTCTTGGGTGGTTATTTTTGACGCAGACTAGAGTCTTGTCATGAGCTTCGCCTGCAGGCATATGAAGATACAAAAAATCTCCAGTTCCCATTTCCCACCATGTCGATATCACATGCTGATCATGCAATTGAAAAGGAAATGAATTTCTGTTTTGATATTCGATAAAAATTCGATAATATTGTCGTGGAAGGGCTTGAATTAATCTAATAAAAATGCAGATCTCTATTTGTTCCTTTTTGTATTTTTGCTGATCTCATCACTTGCCATCTCCACAGGTTCTAGGTGACTCAAATATTCAACCAATCAAATGTTCTGATCAATATAAGCTACGTCTATTGTCAGCTCACTTTAACAGTGTTTAATAGCTTTTAGAATAAATTATGATAAATCATGACACTATCAGATCATTATTGACCTGAACATCTGCATAAGACAGATTTTTCAGATCATGGATGGTGAGTGCAAAAAATGGCACATCAAGGTCAGCATTTGATTTAACATGCACATCAGAAAGACTTGATATCTTCTTCTTTATGTTGAACAAGACTTGTAGATATTGATCAACTAAACCTTTAAATACACCTCTGATCTACTTCAAATGTCATAGTGATAGATTATCCTTATTATATTTTAATAGCCTATTATTAAACTATTTTCACAGCCGAAAATTAGCATGGATTATGTTTTTGTGTATTTATTTGAACAGCTTGAATAAATAGAAATATTAACACTTAAATTTAAATAATGAGGTAGAAAAAGGTCGTAAAGTTCATGGTTTTCTGAAGGTCTATTGGATAATTTGATAGTAGTGAAATGTCAATAAAAAAGCTCATTTAAGTATTCTACGTATTTGGAATAGATCCAGCAAGAAATAGATGAGATTAGAAAAGCTTTGACTTAAAATATTTCTCTTGATTTTCTAAAATAACTTTTTTTTCATCAAACCACAAAACTGTTTTTTATTTAAACTCTAGTTAACAGCAAAGAGAATTTTTTGAATTTTTTGCTCTATAAGACTTGTAGTTTATCTAATAGTTTGTTATAATATAGCATATCAATGCAAAATTATCATGTCATGTCATCAAAATACAATTTATCTATTATCTGTATTTATCAAACCAACCAAACAGTTTTGATTATAATTTTAAAAAATGATATCTAGTTATCATATCAGAAGGCTATGTAATGTTAGGGTACACTGTTATGGGCTCAAAATATGGATATTTCATATTCTTGTGATCATAGTAACTAAAATGATGAAAAATATCAGTTTATTATATAGGCTAGGTAATATTTATATAGCACAGTTCTTAAGAGTTAATATATTTAAACAAACGAATCCGTTGATGGATAAATATGTTTATGAGTAAGACACATGGTTTTCTTCATGACTTGTAACATGAATAAAATGATTGACAACTTGAACTTATTACGTCATTGATCAGTTATGGGTTTTGTTACAAAAAGGGGTGGAACTTCAGCCAGGCAACATAAAAATGGACTGGTTGTAGCATACTTAAGCTCCACCTTAAAAACTCAAAAGAAAAATGCAATTTATGTTACAGTGTAATTTACTCACTAATGTAAAATGCATTAGCTTATTAAAATTAAATACATCAAAAAAAGCTGGCGATATTAAAACTTTACTATTAGAAACTTTTATATTCTTCATTTATAAAAACTTATCAGTGGCTTATTTACATAAACACAAAAAAAAATCATCAAGAGCAAAGTCACATGAATAGCCTTGACTTTTAGCAGACAAAAAAATTTGTACCACAGACTGAATGTTCGAAAAAAGAATTCATTAGTCATTAACGACCTTGAAATGAATACATCACTAATATCAACTTCTTGTTATAAACATCATTGACTGGAAAAAGTTATTTTTAATTGTTGCCTTCCTTAAATTGTTGACATGCTCTCAGGAAGAAAAGATTTCAGATATCTATTGTTGATAACATGTATGTTTACTATTTTTTAGGAGAATATTGTATGGTGTTAACTCTATAGCTGTTCATGTTACACCCATTGTTGTATTGTTATTCAAACAAGTAGGTTTTTCTCTTTTGTTTTATGCATTAACCATCCATTTTTATGTCTTTTTATGCATCATAAGGATAGTGTTGACATTTGTATTGCATAAATGTTATAAAAATAGGACAACTCGTTAAGTGCACTTGAACTTTGGTCGAGATTTTGCTTGTATGTCTCATGTTGCTAAGAAATTGCAGAAGTGTGTATATTGTTAATTTAAAATAACTTCAACACTTAATCTTTTTTATCCCTTTTCAAGTTTCAAATGTCAACGTAACTAATAGTTTTTTTTCTTGGGTAATCTTATGATAAACCAAGTCTAACTCTAATAAGCAGGAATTACAAATACTCATATTAATAAGACAAGAACAGGTGTTTTCAAGGCAAAGTCAGTAATATTTAGAGCATTTGATTGATTATATAAGTATTAGTTCTATTAACACCATAATATGTTGAATATAATGTAAAAACTCATTTCTAACTTATGGTTATCATCAAGTTTTATGTAAATTTTCATAACAGTTTATTAACTTGTTCAATGTTTATCGCAAAGTAGCCTACCTGTCTTGTATACTTTAAAGTAAGGCTCTAAGGCAATCAATATTTGAATGAAGCAAAGAGAGTTTTGGGTGAATTTTGAATACATAGTTGAAAAAAGACACTTCTAAAGTTTGGTCATCATTTCAAAAGTAAGGCAATTGCCTCCATCATACAACAGCCATTTTTCTAATTGTTTAATAGTAAAGAAATTCTAGAAAATTTCTGTACATTCGAAAAACTTGCTACTTGTCGGCTGGCTGTAGATAGGCTTGGCATTTCAATAAGATATGTTTTATTTTGTAGGTATTGTCTCCATTTTATATATTCCAAGCGTTTAGTATGTGTTTATGGTATGCTGATGAATATTACATCTATGCCACCTGTATCGTTGTGATCTCTGTATTTTCTATTGTTGTAACCATTTATCAAATCAGATCTGTGAGTAGCCATTTTGAATTTACCCGATTTGAATTATTTCAAGACTGTATCTTAGCAGTTAGATCCTAGAAATTCGATTTGTTGATAAAATTGCTGCAATAGGTCAACCTCTATAATTACTCACAGCATGTATGGAGGTTGACCGAATAAATCACAAAATAGTCCCTGCTATCATTGATTATGGCCACAAACCATATTTCACTTACTTAATCTGCCACAGCCAAGGGCATCACAATTTGCGGTTTCTTCCTCTGACAACTATTAACAGGATAAGGAAATGCCAGGAAATTCTTGTTGACTTTTATTTGATTATCCATTTTCGTCCAAAATTACCCTGACCAATTCTAAGCCATTTCCCTTTAAAACAAATAAAGATACTCAAAGCCACAGAAAAATATACTTGGTACAATGGCAGTTTTCTGTGGTCAGAATTTTGAGATAGGCTTCACAGATCATGGAAAGATTGTTATTTCTTCTTTCTTCTAACTTTCAGATGCAAAGAGCTTTACGCAACACCATATCTTCAACTACTGTTGTTACTGTTTGTAGAGGCAATGATGGTAAGACACAAGTTTATCACTAACACTAGTTGAAATATGAAACTTTTACTGTATGCTTATGTTCTGGTAACAATGCTAACAGTTTCGTTAGTCATCTTAGTATAAGCATTTGTAGCTATTCTGAAGTATAACTATAAAGAAAAGAGTTTCTGACAAGAGCCCCATCAATTTTCATGTTGATATCGCTTGAGCAGGATTCACTGTATGTAAACATGATCAGACTTCACAATTAACGTATTTGTTTTTCAACTTTACAGTCTATGAAGATATACCGTCAGAGGACCTAGTACCAGGTGATGTTATAGAAATACCACGTCATGGCTGTATGATGCAGTGTGATGCTGCTCTACTAGGTGGTAATTGTATTGTTAATGAGAGTTCACTAACAGGTATGATAATTTTACTGAAATATTTTACACCCATTTAGGAACAGATTTAGGACATTTTAAAATGTCTCTTTTAGATAAAAACTATAAAAACAAATTTTTAGGAGACAAGTGTTCCTGTAATCTAAGAGACCAATAACCAAAATTGATTTTATATCTAGTTGTATGTTTCAATGATCAATTTTGTGAAAAAGACTCAAACTTGTGTCACTGCACTATTCTATATGAATGAGAATCAATTTTGACCATGGAAATGGAATTATTTAAATTTTCAGTAATATGCAACCTCTTAAACTAATGCATATATATATACATGGTGATTTTTACTCTCAAGGTAGATCTTAATTTGTTGAACTTTTTTTAAAGGTGAAAGTGTACCAATAACTAAAACTCCTCTTCCAAATCCCATGACAGTACCAGGACAACCAGAATTAATGTTTGATCTTTCTAACCATTCACGTCATGTTTTATTCTCCGGAACACAAGTTATTCAGACACGTTTCTATGGTAATCAAAAAGTTCGAGCTGTTGTTTTACGAACCGGTAAGATTGTGATTTGATTTTAATTTTGAATAAAAGAAGGAAAAAAAACAACAATTTAAGTTCACAAGGATCCATTCGATCTTTCTCAGATAATCCATACCCATTTACAGCTAAATTGACTGATATAATGAAGAGAAGTCGTCTGTTGTAGTCAACACCTGATAGATTTAAAGGATAATATCAATAGATGTATTGAATGATTTATTTTTTTTAGGTTTTATTACATCTAAAGGAAATCTGGTTCGAGCTATACTCTATCCCAAACCTGTAGATTTTAAATTTAATCGTGATACCTATAAATTTATTGGTGTGTTAGCCTGTATTGCTGTATTGGGTTTCATATATACTATCACTCTAATGGTAAGGAAAATTAAGTCCCGTGACATAAAGTATTTATGATTGATACACTGATACCATTTGGTGTATCAGTTAGAACAGTGGAAAATAGTGTTTTCACAATTTTGATCAAAATAATCTAAAGCTGAACGGATTTGCTATACTGGTTCAAAGCCTCATAAGCTATTATGTTTTGGTTTCGAATCTGTTCATGTGCAAAAGTGTACCATTCTGGTCTAATGGATTTTATCTTTTATTATTTTTTTCATGATTGGCAATTATCATAGTATATCCATTTGTTGTTATGATTGACAGACATGTACAATTAAAAGATATCCATTTCTATTCTATTGGAATTGGAAAAATTGGAATAAAACAATTTACTTTCATTACTATTGGTCTTAATGTTATATATAGGTAATGGATGGAGAAGAAGCAGGTCACATCATTGTAAGAGCATTGGATTTAGTGACTATAGCTGTTCCTCCTGCTTTACCTGCAGCTCTGGCTGTGGGTGTGGTCTTTGCTCAACAGCGCCTTAAGAAATCAGCCATCTTTTGTATCAGTCCTAGTAATATTAATATTAGTGGTGCTGTTAATGCTGTTTGTTTTGATAAGGTAAGTTTAACTTACATTAACTTACCTCAGACAGGATGACAGTAAACTTTGTGGATACATATGTTCAGAATGAAATAAAGATGGCCGCCATGTTCTTATTTAATTCGGTAGTACGTCTTATTATTATCAGGCTAATCTTGGGATGCACTGGCGTAATTAAGTCCAATTATCTGTTACTTGAACACATTGGTTAATGACATTTGGTTTTGTCATTTTGATGAAAGATATTATTGTAATTGTAGACTGGTACATTAACAGAAGATGGTCTAGAACTTCAGGGTGTTGTTCCTGTTAGTAAAAAGAGGTAAACAAATTTCATAAACAAATAAAATCATTTGAGTGGTATTGGCTCAAATCTTAAAGAAGTTCCCATAAACACATCCTTATCATGAACATGTCCTTATCATAAACACGTCCTTATCATGAACATGTCCTTATCATAAACACATCCTTATCATGAACATGTCCTTATCATAAACACGTCCTTATTATGAACATGTCCTTATCATAAACATGTCCTTATCATGAACATGAATCAATGTTAATTTAAGTGTGACTGTGATTTCAATACATAAAAAATAAATTGAGTAAGGAGCAATGAATAAAGATCAAATGATGATATTATGTATGAACATATTTTTTCCATATATTTTAGATTTGAACCAGAAATTCGAAACATGAATGATTTATCTAAAGGAGGATTATTATATGCTATGGCAACATGTCATTCACTAACTATTATAGATGGTGAATTGATGGGAGATCCTCTAGATTTGATTATGTTTGATGCTATCAATTGGGTATGTATATTGAATACCTACCATTTTAACATACGCTGGTTTGTCTGTCATACTAAGCTATTTGTGAATGTGAAATGCTGATTACAATACTCTGATAGAACCTATATTATTTTGACATTTCGGCATCATATGTATAACATAAATTGCTCAGATATGCCTCAGGTACACAAGCAGAAGTGAAAATTTGTCCAAAAAAAATGACTCTCCGTGTCTGTGCTTAAGCCAAAAAATGACTGCTCTGACTGGGTCATCATGAGTAATGTTTAGTTGGATTTTGGTAAGACTACTTATAGATATGATGGTTTTTGCAGAAATTAGAAGAACCAGGACAAGAAGAAACCAGATTTGATATGATGGTACCAACCATTGTTCATCCTTTCAATTCTCCTGTCATGCACCAGGGTTCCACAGAAATGGTAAATAATGATTCTAGTTTTAATCTAAAATGAATGCTCAAGACAGAAATGTACAGATAGGTCTTATCAATCATGAGTCTTGCAACTTAAGTCTTAATAATTTGTGTGTTGATTTTTCTTTTCTAATAAGCAAGTTTGTCTCCTTGAGTTGTGAATTTGGAGTGTCCACCTCCATTTCCAGAGAGCTGTTCTGGCAAAGAAAATAGTGCACTTTGTGTTCAAAGATTTGGGCCGTCATAAAAGATACACAAATGCACCAAAAGGATGTCATGTTTCACAAATTTTCTGAATATTTTATCGTTTGAATAAAAATAAATAAATGCCCTCTGTATTTAGTTACAAGGAGAAGATATTGGTATAGTTAGACAGTTTCCCTTCTCATCCAGTCTACAGAGAATGTCTGTTATTGTGAGAACATTAAACTCCAGTAACTTTGATCTGTATGTAAAGGGTTCACCAGAAATGATCTCTCAGTTATCTCAACTGGATTCATGTAAGTTTTTATCTTCTCCTTTAAAACACTTGATGCCACTCTTATTGTGTACTGGTTAACTTTTATGATGCATGCCCTCCATTGTTTCAGTACATTATGACTGTTTGTTTAATTTATACATCGTGTATTTGTTTTCTCATCATGCCAATTGTCAGAGTATTTTTGTTCTTTGATCTTGTTCCTAACAGGAACTAAAACTGTCTAAATTTTTAAGGCATCTTTTTATGGACTTATTGTAAAGACGCATCAAAAATATTTTTTCATTAATAATTTCTTAAATCATGGAAGATAAAGCCATTTTTGTAGAACTCGATGAAATATGTCAACCCACATAATTGAACAAGATTGCAGTCAGTGCATAATTTTATAAATCCATCAGATAATGTCCACTAATTAGGATTTTTTTTTATTAGTACCAGATGATTTTCATGAAGTTCTAACTCAGTATACACAGTATGGTTATAGAGTTATTGCTGTTGCCTGGAAACCGTTACCTGCTAAATTAAACTATGTCAAAGTTCAAAGAATAGCAAGGTATGTTAAATCTTGAACATAATCAATATTTTGTAACAAAAATCTTTCTCCTTGGATTAACAATCAAAACTGGACTTGGATGTTATTTGGTCTTAATTGGGATTAGAAATTTAATTTTACTATTATAAATTTTTATATTTTAAACAGAGATCAAGTAGAAAGAGAGTTAATATTTTTAGGATTATTGATAATGGAGAACAAAATAAAACCGGAAACATCACCAGTCATAAATAATTTACAACAAGCTGATATTAGAACTATCATGGTTACAGGTATAATCATTTCTTTTCATCTTTCAAGTTCAATTTTTATATTTGGCTGAAATAAAGAAATAAACACACTGCAAGGAAATAACAAATAAATTACAATATTTTGTGTATTATGTGCCAAGTCTTAAAAAATCTATGTGTAGCTAGAACTCTATCAACAGGAATGATTAATCTAGTATGAATATTTTACAGGAGATAATATGTTAACAACTCTATGTGTAGCTAGAGCTGTATGAACAGGAAAGATTAATCTAGTATGAATATTTTACAGGAGATAATATGTTAACAGCTCTATGTGTAGCTAGAGATTGTGGAATGGTAGACAAAGGAGATAGAATAATTCTAGTCCAAGCGTATCCACCAACAGAACTGAAAGCTGAAGAAATAGAGTTTGTGTATGCAGGAGACAGTCAGAAGAAAGTTGAAGAGGTTATAACTAGTCAAGTAAATATAAATCTATCTTATCAAGCATGTATCGTTACTGGTGAATGATTTTACATTGTTTCTTCAGTTACGCTTTTTGTTATTAAACAAAGCATGTTACTATAAATCAAGAAATTATTGCAAGCTTATGCTTTTGCTCAGTAATATTTTAAACTTGTTAAAAGAAATCAATCATATTTTCAAGAAAATCTAAATTAGCATGGAAACTTCTGTGAAATAGTAATTTGAGACAACTTGTTACTTATTTTTTTGTACAAATCTTTGAAGAAATAAATTTACCCTTTGTTTAGCTTTTCTTATGCTTTTTTTATTTAGCTTATTTACACAAGTTTTGAAAGAAATTGATTTATAACTTGCTTATCCTATTTTCTTTGATTTTATTTATGTTTTTGAGCACTGCTTACACAGCTAAAGCAATTTCTTGTTTTACAGTATGCCCAATTTTATTGCTTGATGAGTATAGATTTATGTTTATTTTTTATATTTCATTTTTTATATATTTGATTTATTTGCACGTTGTTCATTTCTTCTTTTGTTTTATTTGAATTACTTATTTTTATTTACTAAGGAAACAGATATTAATTCAGAAGCCCAATGTCTGTTGGAAATGGTAATGTATGTATAATTGTGGCTGCATAGATTTCATGCTTATATATTACTTTCATTATGCCATTTTCTGTTTCTTACCAATTTTCTCAAATCTTTTCTATGACCCTTTACATGTAATGTCATTTGATTAATTACAGTCTTACAGCTTGATGACCTATTAATTTTGATTAATATGACTCCCATATATTATATCTCAAATTATTGATCATTTTACTTACATTGACCTGTTTTAAATTGAAGGCTAGGGAAATATAAATAATATCCTGTATATGCTATATGTGCTATGTGTGATATTCTAGTGTTATCAGCTTATCTTTATGACTGACTGTTCTATGTTAATATTTATTGTGAACTAGACTAAGCATTAATGGCTATAATTTATGATATATGATGTACGATAAACTATATTTTAACCAAGATATAACTAGGTCTTAGGAAAGACGTGGAAATGCTGGGTGCAGTGAGTATTTTATTGCCCGATCGCGGTGAATTTTATAATCGCTCCAAAAATTGACTGCTCATTTTTTACATTTGTATATGTTTACCCAAGAATTTTCACGTTTCCATTCTTTAATTGGCAAATACGCTCGTCTGCCTGTATTCAGTGGATTTTATCTGGCAATGGATACTTTCATGTTCAAAATGGCTGGTACATGTGCCCCTTCTTGGTCGGGCGTAAAAAATCGCTGGAGATTTTAATCCATGTGAAAAAATAGGCTCGTATTACTTAACTTATTTTGAACATTCATGACAAAGTACACATTGATACCTATTGTAGATCTTTCATTTTGTATCTGTTCCCATTGTATGGATTTGAACATTTGTTAGTAAGTATCAGTTTGTAAGTTATGATTGTTGTTCTTTAGAGCTTGGATATAATTTCACTTGCCCTTAGATCTATAGGCTAAATTGTTATATAGTTTGCTTGTATTTTTTTTAGTTTTGCAGTTTAATGTAGTTACTGTAGTGAGATATTCTGTCATAATGTTTATAAACTTAGTCAAATTATTTGTTTATTTTAGAAAGGAACTGTGATAGAAATAGATGAAGACAATAAGCGCTTCCATTTTGCTCTTACTGGTAAATCTTGGGCAGTATTACGTCAGTATTTTCCTGATCAACTTTTAAAGGTAAAATAGTTCATTAGTCTATATATTCAGGGAAATTGTACCATTGATTAAATTTAACTTCTGATTCTGTAGTCTTCTGCTATATAATATGTACGTTGTTTCCTGCAACTGGAACTACATTATTTCTACTTGCCCATTAGAATGTGATTATTGGTCTGGTAGTAGTGACATTGTAAATTTTGATGGTATGCTTTTGGTTAATTGAAGAAGAACTGATTATCAGAGATCATTTCTGAAACGTCAAAGGGTTATCTGAAGTTGGCAAATCAAGTGATAAGATGACTACATATCATCTATTGATTGCTTTTGACTTATTATTATAGATCTTAGTGAGAGGAACTGTGTTTGCAAGAATGGCTCCAGATCAGAAAGCACAGTTAGTTGAGGGTTTACAAGCTCTTGGGTATGATTATTTATCTTCACACTATTTATATTGTCTGTCTGATTATTCAGCTGATATTAAAAATGAGAAGGCAATGCTCAGTTTGATAATTGGTGCCTGAAACAGACTCTGTAGCTTGGTGGTAATTGGCTCTAATCTTGGTTATTGAGGAAAGACCGAAGACCTTGATGAAATCATCTTCATAATTTCATATTGGAATTATATGGCTATGTTAATAATAATTTTAACATAGACAAAAAATATTTACCTGATTCTGTCTTTTCAGGTATTATGTTGGTATGTGTGGGGATGGAGCTAATGACTGTGGTGCCTTAAAAACTGCCCATACTGGTATATCTCTATCAGAGGCTGAGGCTTCTGTTGCCTCTCCTTTTACTTCCAAAAAACCAACCATTGAATGTGTTCCAAAAGTCATAAGGTATGTTTTTACATTGTCCTGCTATGCCATGCATGTGGAATGCTAATTTAAAATAGGTCAAGATTGTGGAGAAAGCTTATTTATAACAGGCAGAAAACGTATTTTAAACAGGTCAAGCATGTAAAGAAAACTTATTCTAAACAGGCTATGCTGTGAAGAAAACTAATTCTGAACAGGCTATGCATGTGTAGAAAGCTTATTTAAACAGGCTCATCATATGGAAAGAGCTAATTGAAAATAGGTTAAGCATTTGGAGAAAGCTAATTGAAACAGACCTAGCATGAGTAAAAAGCCAATTCTAAACAGACCTTACATGTGTAGAAGAGTAATTGAAAACAGCCCTAGCATGCAGAAAAATTTAATTGAAAACAGGCCATGTATTTGGAGAAAGCTAATTGAAGATAAGCTCTGCATATTGGTGTTGAAAGAAAACTAATAGACTAAGCATGTGGAGAAAGACAATTGTAGCCCAGTATGATGATATAAAGCTAGAAGCCTTACATTTGGAGAAAGACAATTTTCAGCAGGCCAAACATGCTAATTGTAAACAAAACAAGCTCTGCATGTGTAAAAAGCTTTTTTAAACAAGCTCATCATATGGAGAAAGCTAATTGAAAACATGCTTAGCTTTTGGAGAAAGCTAATTGAAAACAGGCCAAGAATGTGGATGCACAGTTCTATGAATTGTTTCTCATTTCAGTGAAGGAAGATGTGCCTTAGTGACATCATTTGGTATATTTAAGTATATGGCTAGTTATAGTTTAGCTCAGCTAGTGTCTGTATTAATTCTATATTGGAATGGTGCTAATTTAACAGATCCTGCATTTTTATACGTAGATTTATTTTTGATAACTTCTCTTTCTGTTACTTGTAAGTAAATTTGATCTTATTTTTCTCTGATATATATAAAAATAATTGCCAAATACAAGTGAGTTTATTAATGCCTTATATCACTGTATCAATTCAAATTACAATGTTTTACTCACTAGCATAGCCAGGAATTTTTGAGCACCTGCGAGATCAACATGTTCTTTATTCATGGATTCAACCGAAAGTTCAATAAAATAATTTGAAACAGGGTTCAGACTGCATTTCACTTGTGCCAAAATAAGTATGTATAGACTGAATTCAAAATGGTGCAGAAAGGAAAGCTTGACAAATTTTGGTTGTGACATATCTGGTCCTCAACCTTTCGATTGAAGTCTTAATTGGAACATGCAGAATCTGTTCTAACCTACAAATCCAGTGCCTTTGATTTATGAGATGTCAGTAAATTGTGAGAAGTCACCTTGATATGAATTGTTTTTCTATTGTAGTTGGTTATACTGAACCATATAAAGAGTTAGTAAAAGATCTCCCATTGTCCTCTTTAATTAGTCCTGGTCCTATTTTATCATTGATCACACAGACTATAATACATACTTCTTTCCAAACTGCTGCTTATTTCTATGTTCAACAACAAGAATGGTATGTCCTGTTTGATATCCATATCCTTAATAATTTGTATGTCTCAATGTATCATTTAGGAGTAATCAATGAGCTTATAGTGTCAATCTTATTCTGAAGTTGCTATCAATGTTATTTTAATGTAGACAATAGACATAGGTCTAAAACATGAACAATTTCTGTGAATAATATTCAGATTGTTATAATAATGATATCACAGTTAAGACTATCTAAGTTTATATCAGTGATAATTATATTTATTTATTAAAGGTTTGAACCATTTAAAGAAAATGAAGATGATGATTATAGTAGCCATGAGAATTCTGCCGTGTTTTTGATCTCAGCATATCAGTACATTATTTTAGCTATTATTTATTCTAAAGGAAAACCATTCAGAAAAACTATTTTCTCGAATTGTAAGTTCAATTTTAAGTTTTTGAATATTTTTTGGTTTGTCGATCCATCCACATTATTTTCAAAATGCCATTTGAAAACCTTTTTTCAATTTGTACATTGATGAATCCTAATGTGAAATTTCAAGAAGTTGTATCTTGGCTTGTGGATTAATTAATTCTAAGAAAACATTATTAGTCCTGCTGTAAATCATATTAATGTTATTTAATTTTAGATCTGTTTTTGATCAATATTATAATCTGTATTGTGACTACAGTCTGGATTACTGTTTATCCCACTGATAACTTTGCTGACATCATGGAGGTAAGCATCTTCACAATGTCAAGTTATTATGAACGTTTTATACCTTGACTCAAGTTGACTGCAATAGCTGCCTTACTAGTATCACATTTGTATCACAAATACAGTGATTTGATTGGATTGTATACCAGTGATTACAACCAATCAGAGCCCTTAACAGAATGACTGTAAACAATTTGGCTGTGCGTTTAATCGGCGTCTGTGATTGTGTGTATTCCAAAGCGAACGATCCAATCAAATAGCTGCATTTACGTCTGTGATACAAGAAAGTTGACTTATGCCGTCAAGTTATTATTAACAGATTTATGAATATAGACTGAATTGTGAGCTGCAGAAGACTGATTGATAAAAAAAAAAGAATATGAAACAACAGTAGAGAAGTGATTTCTAATTGTATAATTTGAACAGCTTACATTTCATTTTAATTTCTATCCAGATTAAGATGAAAATGAACTTCTTGAAACTGTAAAATTTGTCAACAGTCTTGAATTTTGCATGTGAATATATTGTGCTGTCTATTTTAGATTAAACAGTTTCCAGTAATAGATTATAGGTTGATATTTGTTGGTTTGGCTGTGGCCAACTTTGTGATTTCCCTTGTTTTTGAGGTAATATTTTATTTTACATTTGTCTCCCACATGATATACTAACCCTGTACTAACTACATGTAACTGTATCAACACAGTTTTCAATCTTTAAATAATATGGACAATTTTTCACTTCTTTTTAGAGTTCTAGTTTCTTTGTGACCATACAATAGCACAAAACTACAGTACCAAGAAGAAAATGTGATTTTCAAAATGGCCACCATCATCAACTCCCTTGAATGATAATGAATACTAGAATATTTCTTTATGTTTTGTAGATGTTCATAGTTGATAATTTAGTTGTCATCAAAAAGTGTAAAGCTCAATGTTCATGCTGTAAACATGATGACTATGAATATACACATATTGAAAAAGAACTGAAAGAAGATCCATCATGGCCGCCATTAGATCAATCTGGACTTGGATTAGCTCAGTATATACAGAGATTAGAAAGCACAAATCAGGTAATACTAAATTAATTTTAAAAAAGACGTTATAGCGGTAGACATTATTTGATCAGGATTACAGGGTTAAACCTTATTATCTTTGTTTCCAATTACAGACATTTTTGAATTTTTTTTTATTGGAAACTGATTTCTAAGAACGGACACTTTTGACATGATAATTTACCTCCAACAACTTAGACTGGTTATTTGGTTGTTTTTCTTGTAGTTTTTACAATCTGACGGGGATGGTAATAAATCAACAGCTACCCTAGAAGATTTAATCAATGCTACAGATGAAGAGAAAGCAGGAAAAGATGAAGATGGAGTTGATAGACAGTTTTCAGTAGCATCTATTTATAGTGATGATAGCAACCAAGATAAACCATTAGTTAGACAATCGGATGTTAACCCAGAATCTATTAGTACTGCCTTATGATAGCTCTACACCAATAAATCAAAACTTCTAGCACTAACTTTCTGATATAATAGCGCCATTCTTACCCCTACTTGAAGACTTAAAAACCAAAATTACCTGCTGCCATCTTTGTTATTTTACAATTCCAATTTCTATTCTTTATCAAAGATGTTACAACATTACACACTTTTATATTTGTTGTGGTCCAGGGCAATGTTACTAAAATAGTCTGGCAATTTCTTTATGTAATGCTCTAATACTACCTCTTAGAATGAACATGAAATTTAAATTCTCAAATATCAGAAATCCCAGTAAAATTGCATAAATCAGTCAAACTGCGTAATTATTGAAAAGCACTGGAAGTGTTTTTCAATAAGTACTTTTTGGATATAATTCGTTACGGGGGAAACTGTTGTATAGTTATGACATCAGGCAAATCAACTGATGATATATATTCTTATATATGTATATAAAAAATTTGAATGAAAGATTGTTTAGAAAAACCAAAATTGTATCAGTATATAAGTATGAGAGTATGAGACTAACTTTAACCTTATATGCGCTACCTTAATAAAAAAGTAAATAATATAAAAAAAGATTGTATCCTAGAGATACACCATAAATAAAACAATATGGGCATTTAAACAGTTAATAGAAAGCATAGCTGTCTGAAGTTATCATGAGTAATAATGTAAGAATGATACAGATTTTATTACCATTAAAGGCAGCAATTAGAATATATTTTAAGTGTTTTAAATGAAATGTATAAAGGATAAATAGGAATATTTTAAGAAAGTTTTTGTTATCCATCTATTTAAGTATTTTCATATATCTGATGATTATTATTGTCACATTCTTATGATTATTGGTGATGTGATTTTCTTCAATTAATCTGATGATTCAAAGTGTTCTGTTTGTTATATATCTATTGTGTGCATAATTTATATGAACTTTTGGGCATTATTTTTTAACACATTGACTTGACTATTATCAGTATGAATTTAGGCATAAACAGTAACAACACAATTACTCTTGATTTTTGTCATACCAGCAACCTGTATTATTACACATACTGTATAATTGGGAATATAATGCACACCCCAATAAGATCTCTATCATAATAATTAAATTTAAATCTTGATGTATTTCTATATCAATATGCTAGAAACAGCCGTCTTTTGTCTAAAATTTGAAAAGTATTCTGAAAAGCCTATAAAGGTTTGAAATCTCGAAGGTGACTACCATATAATGTTGATGAATCAAGAAACATTCATAAATATCTTGATGCAATAAATATCTTCAAATATAAAGATTTGCTATCTATAAAGTTTTTGTGATGTAATAGAATAAGTTGCATAATGTTTTATGATTTATGTGTTATTGTATAATATTGTATGTAAATGGGTTTTTAGGTTTTATGAAAGGAGTTTCCTGCCAGTGTTGAGCGCTAACTTATAATATTTCCTGTGATAACTTTTTTATTCCAGAAGTATTCTTCTTATTGGAGTCTGCTTTTACAAGAATAACAGGAATTATTTATTTTTAGAAATATAAAATGAAAATCAATTCTACCTTTATTTGAGACCTGGGACCTTATTTTCGAAAAATTAACTAAGATATAATCCAAATTTTAAGAAATACAGTAATTTGATTGGATAATAAAACTAAATGTAGAATTGATGTCAGTGTTTAACCAATCAGGTTACTGGAATACTAAAATCATCTTAAGTTAAGTTTTTGAGTATACGGCAACTAGTACAATTAAACCCCTTAAAGTATTATTTACTATAAAAACTGGAATTTATTTTGAATTCAACGATGTTGCATATTTTTCTTTGTATCTTTTTATATTTTTATTTTTACAATTATTTACCAACGAGGTATTTCTTCAGAATATTAATCTAATAATTTTAATTATAATTAGTATAAATCTAATATGATTTTTTAAGATTTTAGCTTTTATTTTATTTTGTTTATTGATTCTTTGATTAATTTATGTTTATTATGTTCATGCTTTGTTTGATCTGTATACAGAATGTAGATTTGATAGTAAATGATAAGTTTATGTGGATTGGATTGACAATAATTCAAATAAACAGTTATGCTGAAGTTTTGATATAGCCTTTTCAATTAGGGTCTAACAACAGCCCTCTTGAATGTTTGTCAAATTAACCTTTTGACATCAATGATGTCTGCTTTGACCAATCATATTTCTACCCTTTTCAGTTCTGACATTGTGTGATGCAGTGTTTATCAGGTTAGGTCAAAATGTCAATTTGATGAATGTTCAAGCAGGCTGTTTTTAGACACTATCTGAAGTGGCTAAATTCCAAATAAAAACTTATAACAAACAGAAGAAAGTTTGGTCTAATTTGAATTAGACTGTGAATATTCTGGCTTTACAGTAATTATTAGCTTGCGTTGCAGTGGTTTTTGTGATCAAATCAAGGGTATTTTATTAAAGAGGGATATATTTAGAATAAAGATAGTGTGATGTCTCATTCTGAAAAATTTAAAGTCAGTCAAAAAGTAATTTATTGAATGTAGGTCATCATGGTATTACCATTTGTATGTATTTAGATGATATGTAATTAGATATCTGACAGTAAAAAAAATACTATATTTTTTAAATCTCTATTACAAATAAGGATGTTGCTTGATTAGAGAGTTCTAAACAGGTTCAAACTGTACCAATTCTACCCTCAATTGAATGATGTAACATTCAAAATTTTCCCATCTTTTTTCCCTCTCCGCCATTTTGAATTCTGTATGCACCTATTTTTTTCCACATACATATGTATATGAAACACGCTCTGACTCTGTTCAAACTTGTTTTTTGAACGTCCTGTTGATTCCATAAATCCTGAACGTATTTAAAGTAGCACAATGTGAAGGTTTTGCACATAGAAAAAATTTAACCACTTGGTTTATTTACTGGTAATTATGGGTAAGGATCTAAGAGTCACTTGAAATACACTATAAAAGTATAAACTAAGACTTGTAGATCTATGGTGTAGATATAGTTACTTATGGTAAAAAAATTTTTATTTCATTTCAACCTTAATTTTATATGTTAAACCTTATGACTAGGAGTGTCATAATTATTTTGGTATCAATTTGAAATATTCCCAATAAATCAATGCTGAAGACCCAAATCAGACTGAGACTTTCTGAAGCTCAAATCTGACCTGACTAGTCCACTTTATATCCACAGGGTAAAACATTGAGATTGCTACCTTGAAACACAAAGAGAATATTTCCTTTTCCGAAAAAGTTGGGACTACCATTTAAATCTAAGGTTGTTCATTTAATGATAATGGTGATGGTTTACTAACCTACATTAGTATAAGTTAGCTTACATTTTGTATTTATATCATTTTACTAAGACGATTAATTTGTTATCTATTTCTAACATTTCTTAATAAATCCTATTTTTATAATAAACTATGAGAATCTTTATGCATATTCTCAAATCATGAGAAATGCTCCAAAAATGCTTTAATAAGAGATTGTTTTTTTGTAATACATGAAAAGACTTAGTACATTATCCTTTTGGTTTGGAGTAAAATGCATATTGGCATGCTGGGTAGTGCTCGAATGGAGGGTTCCGAACAGGTCCTGTCTGTTCCATTTTTCCCTCAATCGAATGGTACAAAAGCGAATATGTCACTGTCTTTTCCCTTCTCCGCCATTTTGGATTCTGTCTGCATCTACTATTTTTTTTGGTACATTTGGAATGTGTTCTGAACTCTGTTCCAACTTGTTATATTGATTCCTTGAATCCCGGAAGAGTAGAATGCACCAATCAAGCAACCCCTAGGATTAGTAACATTGCTGCTGTACTGGATAAGAAAAACAGACATTCTTACAGAAATATGAATTTATTATAAAAACACATGTAAATGTATGATAACATCTCATTAAGCCTTATATCGCTTAAGTTATATCTAGCTTAAGGTATGATATTGAAAAGAAACAGGTTTCAGCACGCAATAGTATAGCTAGATAATTTATAAATCAGCACTAACCACCATTTTCATTACAACATGAAGCTATCTTTTCAAATTCTCCAAGAATATTTGTAAATGACTGTTTCTACACACCTAATCTAGTACATCTTTACAATGGTCAAGGTATTGCGAATATTGTCTCATACACTGTAACTTGACTTCAAAAGCCCACTTTTTGGTATCAGAAAACAGTAGTTTGATTGGATTTTACACCAGCAAAAACAGCCAATCAAGAGTCCTAGAACTTTGACAGGCTGTATGCTCTTATAAACAATCCAACGTAACCACTGCATTTATAAATTTCTGTGATACAAGAATGGTGGCCATTGTAGTCAAGGTATAAGAAATTCCTAATAGCTTGACATTGTGAAGATGAATCTGAAGAAATTTACATGTACATTGCAGCTCTTAGCAGTATTAACAATATTTAATAAATATAGCATCAAAATATACATCTGCTGTGTAAAAAATATGATTAAGGGTAACTTGGGACTGGTATCTTTGGATATTGTTACTTTTGAACTATTGAGAGGACTAAGGTTGAATTAGGAAGAGAAAATTACATATAGCCTAAAGAAGTCATGAAGTGCAATATTAATAACTAAATGTAAATTAAATTTTTCCAGTGAGGGTAGGAAAGCTAAATGAATTCGTTGATGCCTAAGGGAGCCATGGTTATGAGCTCATGGATGTAGTTCTGTTCTACATCTTTCCTTGGTTGTGGTATCCAAATCAGAGTCACGTTATGATTCTGATAATGTGAACCAGGAAAGAATCAGGGTCATATGACAATAAATTATTTCTGTTAGCACTAAGGCTCTCTTATGAGAACTAGCTTGTTATCAGAAATGAACTTATTCAAATCTGAAAAAAAAAATGATAAACTAGAGTTAAATTGATCAACCACTAAAATTAGTTGGCCTACTAGTTTAAAAAAAAGTTTCAGCACTGACAATTAGTATAATAAAACATTGTATATAAATCATATATAGACAAAAAAAAAAACTCATAACACAATATTCAGAAGAAGGAGTCTTTATAAAATAATAGTTTTTGAAATAGGATTAGGGAATAGGACTGTTGATTTGCAAAGTTGCATATCATCATATAATAAAATTGCAAATGTTATAGACAAAAAAAAATCTATATAGACCTAGAAATAGATGAATTGTCAGCCACGGCTAAAAATATTGTTTTATAGCTTAAGGATTAGGAAAAATGAAACAGGCTGTTGATTTGCAAGTCATTAAATAATATACATACATGCAATTGACACAATATAAGTATATGTTTTGCACATGTTTAGACAAAAAGGTCTGTAAAAACGTGAAAAAAGACAACAGCCCTGTGGAAACTATCACTATAAACAAATACACAAAATAAAAGCAATAAAAATCAAACAACAAATATTGTTCTTTATAAACACAGTGAATAAAAGTGTATAAAATCATTGATTTGACAAAAATTCTTATAAAAATGACTTATACTTAAAGATGGCTTCCCTTATTTTCATTTATGAAAATGCTGATACTGATATGAATAGAAAGTAGAAGTGTTCCAATGACTTGGAAAAATACCAGTTTGTCTCACATGTCCAAAATTAACTAAATTAGAAGAGAATTACTAGCAGAATCCCAATGAGTGACCGATCAAGAAAGGTCAAAAAGTCTTTTTTTGTTTATACAGACTGTACATACATGTATATTTATGGTTAAAATTCTTAATTATACGCAATAATAACATAATGATATAATAAAGAATACATGATAATTTATTAGAAACACCAATTAATCAAATAGTTTGCTTAATGTGAAACTAAAAAAATAAGGAATCCCATGTTTAATATGTCAAAGAAATTCCAAAATGGATATATCTCTGGTAATAATTATCACCTCATGATATTATTACCATGATTAGCATGAGTATGGTTGTCAGACATGATGCTATACTATGTCTGTATGATTGTCAGACATGATGCTATACTATGTCTGTATAATTGTCAGACATGATGCTATACTATGTCTGTATGATTGTCAGACATGATGCTAAACTATGTCTGTATCATTGTCAGACATGATGCTATACTATGTCCATATGATTGTCAGACATGATGCTAAACTATGTCTGTATCATTGTCAGACATGATGCTATACTATGTCCATATGATTGTCAGACATGATGCTAAACTATGTCCATATGATTGTCAGACATGATGCTATACTATGTCCGTATGATTGTCAGACATGATGCTAAACTATGTCCGTATGATTGTCAGATATGATGCTAAACTATGTCCGTTAACTTTGAAAAGATAATTCTGTTCAATTACGGATTTTGACGATTTTGATCAACTTTCGACAGTGAGCTGTGAACACTATTTCTGATAAGCTTAGGTAAAAACTTCCTATATCTGAAATTAAGGAGCGATTGGTTAGACAGATGTTGAACTTGTCCCTTAAAATGATCATGGTAAGTTGATAAATCAATTTGTGAATATTTGTAAATCAATGTCTTCAATTCCACAACCAAGAACTTAATAAATAGCAGAATAAATAAAATAAACGATTGAATACAAAACCTAGAAACTAATAAATTATACAAGACTATTTATCAAATCCTAAGCTAAAAGGTAAATGAAAATCAAAATATTTTTCTTATAAAAATAATATTGCATGAATCACAGTTCTAATATTTTAACAAGAGCAAACTGACTTTCTCTCTGATTTTGGGCCTGCTTTTATCACTGTAATGTTTCAAATGGCTTACTTCTAGGGGTATTTCTCCCAAATTCAATTTCCTCTACTAACACTAAGTATCTTATCTCAGTACAAAAGACTACTGACACAAAAACAAATATCTTAGACTAAATTTTCATGATAATGCAGTGACAAAAGCAGAACCCAAAATAAATGCCCAATATAATGATTAAACACTACAAGTTATAATAACAAAATAACATCTCTATAATAATATAATTCTACTGACTATCTCATGGTGTATTTCTATTATTATGATACTTTCTGTGAACTAAGCTTACAAAATAATAATAATCTTGGTATCTAATTAATCCCTTAATCCACTCTGATTGTAGTCTTCTGATCGGTTGATATATCATCTGTTATTTTAGGATGGACCAATCAGATGAAGTGTTTCAGACATTAATCAATTTTAATCGTTCGAGATACCACTTTTACTTTCTATATTGCTGAAATAACTAAAGCTGTTGGATCTAAAAATCCTGGTCTGTGATTAAGTGAATATTGGTTCTCTTAAAGTTCTGTAGCCATCTTGGTACTCATAGCTTGTATTCTCAACGCGTTACAATTTTTACATAATATATGATCATCTAATGGATAACAACCTCTTCCTTCAGCTTCTGATGACAACTGTAGACCACAATCCTACAAACAAAATATGTATTCCAAAATAGTTTGCAATGAGATGTAATCTTCAAAATTTCCGAGCAGTTATACCTTGAAATCATTGTCCCTGTTACCTACATGTTGACTATTGATGTCATAAAAGAAGAAAGATCCCCTGTTACTTCCTTTATAAATGGGGACCTTCATTACTCATCAAAAATCCTTATCTTGTGCACTATACACCAACTATAACAAAAACTGACAGATATGCTTGTCAAATTAATCTTGAGAAGGAACCAAATAACCTCTCTTTTTCTGAGATAATAAAATAACTAACAGGTCCAAAGCCTTACCTCACATCTATAACAATTGACATGAAAACTTTTATCCATAGCAACAATTCTCACAGTTTCATCTTGACCTTGTTCAGGCATTATAGGTTTGTTACAGGCACAGCATCGTGGTGCAAATTTACTGCAAAATAAAAAAATAGAATTCAGGGGTCTTAGAAAAATAAATTTTATCAAAAATAGTACATGAATACATAGTAAAAAGGTAATTCGTATCAAATACACAAATATAAACCAAGTTGTTTAATTCTGATTTATGGGGTTCTGTGGCACAGTCAGTTAGAGCATCAATTGCAGTGCGTTCTTTGAACCATTCATTACGTATTTCGAATTACTGCTCTAATTCTGCCTCTATTTTGACCGTAACTTTTGTTTTGTTCATTACTTTAAACCAATGACTAAAAGATAGCACTTTATAAAATTTCAGATTTTGACTTTTGTCGCTGACTTTTTTTGTTTTAATTTTAGCGTTTTTTTCAACTTCTACAATTTTATTTCAATCCGTCTAAAAATTTAATAGTAGATAAGCATTTTGATTCCTGACAAAAATCTATTTTCAAAATTTCGATATCACTTCTGGTTTTGATGTCATTCGCCTCTAAACTTGAAATTCAACTTCCGGAATTTTGTAGGTATTTGAAAAATTCTTTTTGAAATTTGTTAAAATTGTCCCTATAACAATTTTGGAATGAAAAAATTTGAACCGGAAGTAACGTGTTAGACGCCATCTTGATGTGACCAATTTTTGTAAAAATCAATATTAAGGTTCAGGGGTAAATCTGATTTGTGTGATTTTGGTGTCTAAAGAATCTGCAATCGATTGCTAACAAAACTAAGGAATCCGATTTTTGAATTTTGGATTCGTATTTTTTATATTTCCGGTTTTATGTTTTCAGTAATTGTCAAAAATATTAAGGCTCATATCTAGTGACTTTGACCTTTGGTGATCTTGTGACCTGAACAAAAGTTGTTGCCCCTGACGAGATATATCCGATGATATCCTCACTTTTGTTGTGCATCGTTAACTTCCTGTTCTACAGCCATTGGAAAATCACGATTTTTAACTTTGAAGAGCTCTGTCACGTGACCTAATTAACATACGACAAAAATTCTTATATATTCATTGAGTGCATAAAATCTCCTTTTTGGTGATATATCACACTTGATATTTTGATCAAAATTGCGCGTTTTAAAAATTGAAAATTTTGTACTGACTTCCATAGTAACTGTGCGTAAAATCACGGTGTCTATAATTTATCGACAGTCACCGTTGCCCTAAAAAAAAGTTTAACTACGAATATCTCATGATCTAATGATTGTAAAGACTTGAAATTTTGAACATTATTTAACAATGTAGACATCATCACAGACAAATTAAAATTTTTGAAGTGGGCGTGGCACATCCTGTGTGCATTTACCTTTACCTGAAATTTTTGCAATTGTCATAACTCGCAAAGTTTGTAATTGTCATCCTAAACATTTTGCATGAAAGTAGATCACTGCTTAGGACAATTTGTGATAAGATTACAGTTGTTTGCATTCTTTACTTTAAAAAAGGGAACAGGTTTAACAATTTTAAAAATTTTTATTTTTGAACTTGAACGTAAATGACCTTGACCTTTGCATGGTCAAAGGTCATTGATCTAAGATGACCATTCTTACTTTGATTTTTGATGTGCAACATATACTTCCGGTTTTACAGACGTCCGAAAACAGCAATTTTCGAAACTTCAAAGGCTCATATTACTTTTATTTAACCTTTGTTGACCTTTTGGCCTGAACAAAGGTTGTTGCCCATTACGAGATATATCCGATAATATTTTCACTTTTGTCGTGCTCCGTTAACTTCCGGTTCTACAGCCAATTGAAAATCGCGATTTTTAACTTTAAAAAAAGGTCTATCACGTGACCTAATTTATATAAGCGAAAATTTATCTTTAGTCCATATTACACGCAATCTATTCTTTCAAATGATATATAACACTTGGTATTTTGATTAAAATTGAATTTGAAAATTTTGTTTTGACTTCTATAGTAACTTTGCGTAATTTTAACGGTTTCTATAATCCACCGACAGTCACCGTTGCCTTAAAAAAACTTTTAACTACGAATATCTCATGATCTAATGATTGTAAACACTTGAAATTGTTTGACATTGTACACATTATTACAGACAACACAAAATTTTTGCAGTGGGCGTGGCAAATCCGGGTTACTTTTACCATTACCATAAATAATTCAAATTGTTATAACTCAAAAAGTTTGCATTTTTCACCATCGAAATTTTACAAAAATTAAAGCACTATTTGGGACAATATCTGATAGAGTTACAGTTTGTTTAGGCCTTTTACTTTAAAAAAGGGAATAGGATTTACAATTTATAAAATTTTGATATTTTGACCATTTACATGCATAAACTTGGTCTTTAGAAGGTCAATGGTTATTGATCTACGATATCCATTCATACTTTTATCTTTGATGTCCGACATATATTTTCAATTTTACAAACGTCCCAAAACAGCAATTTTCAACACTTTTAAGGCTTATATTCTCTTTTATTTGACCTCTGTTGACCTCTTGGCCGAAACACAAATTATTGTACCTTTCCAAAAATATTTTCATTTTTGTTGTGCGAATTGAACTTTTAACTTTACAGCTATTTGAAAATTCGACTTTTTACTACCGAATGTTAACACCTTTTAGTACCGAATGGTATCAAATTCATGCGTCTTTTCACTACCGAATGGTAAACGATTTGTTCTATTATTGAACGTTTACATGCTTTTCTTTCCGGTAAGAAATCCCATTGTGACTTTAAAATGCAACGTTTTATCGATGTATCAGGTTGGATGCGCACTGCTTCGGTACCGTTATAACGGTTCTAGTTCTTGTTATTTGTTTGGTTACGTCAACTAATGGTGGTCATGTGTTATAATCTCTGTTGAGATGTGAAAGTCAGAGAATCTTGAATAAGTCATCTTCCCTCATAATTCCAGTTGACCCAGGTGTAAATGGGTACGGATAATCCAGGAAAGATCAATGCCAAGAGGTGTGGCCAAGGACCAGCTAGTAAAAAGAATCCTTTGAGAACCTAAACTGGCTACTCTTTTAAAATACAGATGTTTATTTTCTTTCTTTCCACTATTTCAACTAAATAGAACAGATTTTTATAAAATCATTATTACTTATGGAAGTCTTCAATACAATGTATTTGGTTGGTAGCATCTACTGTAAATGGAATACCATCTAAACTTTTACCACATACAACACAAGTAAAACAGGCTGGATGGTAGGGTCTACCTGTAGCTCGTAATAACTAAAAACATAATCAAAAGAAATGACAATTAAGCCAGACAGCGACATACAATAATACAATATCTAACAATCAAGGAGTCTGTCCAGATGATACCTGTAGCAGATGGTGTAGTTTTTCTGTCCTTGTCAAGACTGATCTTTTGTATTCGCTTGCATAAAATAAAGAAGAACTCACCCTATCTGTGATAGCTTTAGAACAAACAGAACATTTCTCTAAAGTATTCTGAAAAAAATATAAACAAGAGTAGTGTGAGACCACAAGGCAGAATATTTGTCCAAAATGGAAATGTGACTTTTGTTTGCATGTTTTTTTCAAAAATTAATATTTGAAATTAGTTAGAACATCTAAACTTACCACATAACAAGATTCACAATACGGTTTGTTCTCCATTTGAAAGAATGATTTACCATGTAGACCACATCCTGTAAATATCAATCATTAAAAAATATATTAGTAAATTATCATAAATTCATGATAAAAAAAAAATAAAAATGAAATGAATGAAGTTTTACTAAATTCATGATCAAGAACAATCACTTCATATGGTCCTCTCCATTCTTTTTATAAGCATATTTAAAAAAACATCTGCATCACAACAGAAGACCTTCTTGTCTCCCATTTTCTTATCTGTAGGTAAGTATAGAAATAAGGATATCGAACAGAATAGTATACATTACTTACCACAATTACTACAAGTAAAACATCCAAGATGAAATATTTGATCCATGGCAGAGCAACCATTAACTTCTCCTAAAACTTTCATACCACACTTTCCACATACACCTAAAGTAAACATTAAAATGATATATTTTGGTATTAATAGGATAAGAAAGACAAAGATATGTTTTTCATTGACAAACAAATGACAACTCCATTTGGTCCAACCTCTAAGGGTGCACACCTCAGCAAATCGCTGGTATATTTTTCCACAGTCCAAAACTAACAGGCAAAGAGACTAATTATCTATACTATTTTTTTCCAATTTTGATTCTAGGAAAAAATCTCACCATAGAAATCAGGCTCAGCAGTAGATTCTATACTCTGCATCAATAAATTGGTTAAAGCATCCACTTCTGCTTCTTTTTCTTCTTTGGGAGATTCTGGTGCTGTAGTGGTAATAACAGGTATTTGTGGTGCCATTCTTTCGGGTTGTCTCAAAAAATCTCCAGATCTTGCTGCTGGAGCATTTGGAGGAATATTCATATAAGTGCTGGTATTCGGAGAATTATAAGGGGAATTCCGACCATAAGACTGACTTGGGGAATCCCTTCCATATGATTGGTTCGAAGAATATGATTGGTTGTTTAAGTTACCATATGTTGGCTGTTGTTGATTGACAGGTGAATATTGTTTTTGATTGGTCGATCCAGAGTAAATGGGTTTGGCTGAGTATTGCTGTGACCTATCAAAGTCTGAGTTGTAGGATGTATTATTAGAGTATGATTGGCTGTAACTGTCTGGGGGTGGCGGTACATCAGTGCTGACATTGTAGGTGTTACTAGAATAAGACTGATTACTGTAGCTGTGTGATTGAGATGGGGGTGGTGGTGGGGGAAAATCTTGATTGTCCTGGTAAGAATAACCATGGTATTGTTCTTGAGGAGGGGGCGGAGGTGGAAATTCCTCTGGGGGTCCAAAATTCACTTTTCTATACCCCTCACCTGAAAAATTAGAGAGAGTTGTCAAAATATACAGTATCGGTAACAATAATTTTTTTAAATAATAAACATAATTTTTAGAAATATATTAAAACAGAACCTGAAACATGCTGTTAATCAGAGTTTTATGCTGTGTGATCAGACAAGTGACATATTTTAGTCCTTGTCTCTACTGAAGTTGTACAAAAACAATTGTCATCAATGCATGCAACCTCAAAGAAGACTTGATATTCAAAAGTTTATTACTGGTAGATTACTGGTATGGATCTTATGTTCAAAACTATGTTAACTCCACATTATTTTTTATCTAGCAGATCTCTATTTTGTGACCTTGGCCAGTGCTTTACATAGGAGTTTTTATGAACTTCTTCAATCAAAATACTACACACTAGAAATTGCTTTCATCTTTTCAAGTATTTTATTGGTATTTATTACAAATTTGTTTTTGACTGGACTTTTCTCCTAATTTCCTAATCTATTTGAAAGAAAAACCTGACTCCACATGAAAGAAAATAGTGATATAACTGGTTAATATATACCACAGAGAGCTTCTTTATAATTCAACAAAATACAACACAATGTCTGATATTTGCTACCTGTAGTCATGAAAAACTCTGCATGGTTCTTACATGGAAATAACACAGATGAACATTTTTAGTTTCCAAGCCAGTCCTTAAGCTTTGTGGAAATATCATAGCATTTTTAAAAATTTGACTTAAAAAGTCGAGTTCAAAATGGCTGTGAACTACATTTGTGTGTGTTATTTCTGTGTAAGAACTTTAGGTAGAAGGCCTATTCATAAATCCTACATCAAATTTAGAACAACCTCCAATGGTAGAAGCTATCTTATAGAAAGATACCAACTATGTATATATCTAAATTTTATATCCCCAAAAAGTGTTGATAACTTTGAAAGAATGCCCCCTTATGAAGGAAAACATTTTTCTGAAATGACTCACAATAAAGTGAAGTGATTAAGTACATTATTTTTAGGACATCCTTAACTTTAAACTAAAATATTTCATAGCCTGTAAGTTTAAGAATAACAAGTCCATTGTTTTTAATTAACCCTACAGTTTCATGTTACCACTTACAAAAAGATATAAATCAAACATGTCTTTTTTGTTAAGACATTTTTACATAGAATATTTCCATAATTTACTGTGATATTTCAAATCTTAAGAAAAACGTTGTTCATACTAGTATAAATTGCAAGTATTTAGAAAGAACAAGATACGATGTATGTTGCACATTATCAATTCAGTAAAAATACAGCTACACTAAAATGGACAATATATGGCTCTTTGTTTTTTTGTATGATCATTTTCTTGTTTCTAGTAGGAATCCATCTTGAATTTATGATTGCTTTTATTCAGGTCATTATAAAATAACATTCATATCCTTAGGTAGTAAATCACCAATTAAAATAAGAAATTAAAAACATAGTAATAAAATGATATTCATCCGGTTTTATAGGAAAAGGAAGGTCAGAGGTCATATCAAAATATATAATGAAAAGTTGTGTCACAAACAGCCTCTGTGAAAGTTACCCTAGCGCTCTGCAACTTATCACGGTTATGAGTGGCCATTTTTTTACCGGGACTACGCCAATATTGTCACATGATTATGTGATTCTGGTAATTTAAATATTAGAGGCATGTTGTTCGCAACTTTAAATGTTGGTAAACAAAGTCAATGAAAACAAAAACTTCATAAGACACATCCAAAATGATAATAAAATGTATAATTGGATAACCAATAGTCACGATATAGCATTAAACACATATGTAAGTGTAAGAATCTCCTAAAGTCTCTAAATTTAAGAGGTATGTTTAATTCGGAATATTACTATCACTAGACAAATCACTGCTAAAAACCGGAAGAGTCTCGCCAAAGAAGACACAACAAAATTAACCATTCATTACCGAGATTCAGCTTACGGAAACAGCCGAGGATTGCTGAATGATTGTGTCATTGAGTATTTTCTAAGTACTTAAAATCCAAAAGATCAGTATATAGTCAAATTTGTATTAAGCAAGCAGCTTGAAATTGACACTAACTGAAGGTAGTTGCATAATAAAGGGTCAAGCTGTACACTATGGTGATATTTTAAGGCATACTTGGTAATCTCATTTCAGACAATGAATGAATGAACATCATCAAAATTAATAGATTCTCTTGTGATCCTAAGTCTTTATATCACAAATTACATTATTACATTGACACAACTAAACAACTTGTCTCTTCTGGACTCCACTAAGGGATTATGGTGATTACAGGTGACTGTACAAATTTGACTATATTTATTAATAAGGGTTAAGTTTTTTGGATGTGAAGACACATGGAAAATCTCTTCCCGTTAAATACATCTTCTTCCAAAATTTACAATGACAAGAGATGAAAATGCATAAATTAATATCATGCTATAAGAAATGTGACAAAACACTTTGGAACTTGCATATGTCGATTCATTTCCTAAGTGGAAAGCTATAAATAATAGTTGAAACATAACATTCCTAGCGCAGGTTAGAAGGAAGAGGTATTTCCTTAGTCTAATTATTAAGTAAACCTTTGATATAGCAGCGTTTTATTACATATCCTTTTATAATTAATAAGATTGATAATTGAGATAGAGAAAACATTCCTGTTAATTAAATAACTGTACAGAAATCTAAAGATCATTACAATTTTTCTTTTACTTTTAATTAAATAGCTCAAATTCAGCTCTATCAACTGGTAAAACAAATATTTCTACCCATATCCCTTTAAATTTAAGGCTTATAAAGGCATGATGTGAATTTTCCATTTCCCAGTTTATAACTTTTAGTCCATTTAAACTATTAAAGGGATAGTCTGATTTAATTCAACTGCGGAGAACTGGGCTTTAAATGCATTTCTAAACGCTTTGTATAGTTTGTTTCATTTAATTTCGGAACATTTTCATATCAAATTTGAAGGGTTAAAAAGATATTCCTCTACACGTTAAAATACAAATTAAAGTATTTCACACTACAAAATATGGGAAAAAATCAATTTATCCCTTTAGCAGTCTAGATCAAACTCCAAGGAGTAATTTCAAAGTTGTTTTATAGTTTATTCAATGAATACCAAAAACTAGCCTTGTGATAAACACAGCCATATAAATATAATTTATACCTGTACTCAAAAATGAAATTTGGATAGAAAACCTGACCAGATCTGTTATTAAATTAACTGGTGTGGATATTATAATTAATGAGTTGAACCATCCTTAATTAACCTTATCTTTTCTTATCTCTATCAATACTGTCTCTTGAGGAATTCTTGGCATTTTTCATCAAAATACTCAAGTTCTATTTACTTGGAACTAAACCAAGTTCTTAACTGTCTTTTGAAATTAGAACATCTGTATATTTATAACTAAAGAACATGTAAAAATGAAGCATTTACAATGATAAAATAATTTTTTTTGAATAAAATGTGAATTACTTTGCCCACCCACACTTTTTTTTTTTAGCAATCAACAATTTTTCATTGCCTATGGGTTGTTGAACAAATAATAGGATGTGGAAATTTTTCAACATTTCTGTTTTAAAATTCGTCATTTTTGTGGGTTGATTGGGTCTTGAATATATGTTAATAGTCTTCAGAAGTACTAAAAAGGCATGAAATCCCATAATTCCAAACTGGAAATTTCACATTCTATTTTTTATATTATCTTTTCTATATACGACAGTGTCTCAAGAAATTTTAACTTTCAAACGCAGAAAATTCTGGACACACATGAATTTAAAGGTCCAAATTTTTACGGTGAGTTGTGAAAACTATTACTGATTATAAATAAAAAATTCCTGTTTCTGAGATTAAGGTAGGATTGGTCTAATAGCTGGGGAACCTGTCACTTTAAACCACCTTTTGAGACCATTCTTTCTTAACTTATAACGTTGTCGTTAGTTTGGCTATGACAATATACCTTTCTTCCAAGTTTCCAAATCTTGTGTTTGAAATTGTATGAAAATAATGATCTTCAAAAAACTATATTCAACTGTCTTGGCAGTTGCTTGTATTTAAATCACAGGTATTTTCCACACAGTTGATAAACTTGGCCTTTTTCACCAACCTTTATATCCATCGAGGCTATTCTCACACAATTATTCAAACGTAAATGTTAGTAACATGAGGTCACCAGGTTTTATTTTGGCACCTAGCCAGATATCACCAGATAAATAAATAAAGTTTTATATATCAATGCCATCATTCAGTATTATCTAATGTTTACTAGTATCTATTCAGGATAAGGTATCAGGGTGGTCAATTACTAACAACTAGCCAAATCATCTGTACATACGACCTAGCTCTCTTTTCTTTTAAAGCGATAACTTTTGACAACTTAATGCTCAAGTTACTTTCATTGTGGTTTTCGTTTGGTCTTCTAAAAATGTATTTAACCTCTGGTATTTTAAGACCTCGTTAGAAAAATACAGCTCCACATCTTCAATTTAAGTGAATTGAAATATTTTTTTAAAACAGTACTGATTGTTTTAGAATAAATGTCTTGATAAAAATATAAACATGGGTAGGCTCACACAACATCAATTTGTATTTTGTTAAAAATAACGATTTTCAGTCATATTGAATCTCAATTGCACAAAACTATAGAACATGAAATCCTCTCTCTGTTAGGGGTGAGAACTAAGAGCACAGTTGTGAAAAGAATGTAATAAGGGGTAGTAATAACTGAAAAACATTTGATTAAAAGGATTAAGTTGACTCAGAATCCTATATTAACCCAGATTTATCGAAAATTCTATGAGGAGAGGAGAAATAATAAAAAACTGAAATTAAACTACTAATTCATTTGCCTTTGATTGACTACATATCTGATAGAAATAACAGATAACTTCACTGGTAAATAACAGAAGTTAAGCAAGATATGTATAGTTAAAGACAGACATATTTAGAGACAGAACTTACCAGGTCTATATGGAGCAGGAGCTGTGTTATATGGTTTGGGTTTTGGAGCAACTGATGGTGGAAATTTAGGAGTTGAGTCTGCTACATGCATCTGAGAAAAATCTCTCTCCAGTCCACGATATGACATCTTTGATGTTTTCACAGAATCTATATTAACTATAAGCTTACTATACTATATTAGTTTATCCTTTTAAGCCTGAAAAATGAAATATCTTAAAATTGTAAATAACTATCAAAATAGAGGTTAACCAACGAATGCAATAGCTTATATTAGTAAACCAAATCCAATTGCAAAGGGATTTACTTTTATAATAAGCATAGAAATTAAACATCAATATTAGCTAGTAAACACTTTGCTAGTATATCAAATTTTGCTGACTATTTTCATGTGAATTGAGATAACAACTTCAATACAATACTGATAATCTAGAAATGATTTTGTTTTTATGAAAATCTAAACAGTTACAGTACTGGTACTAGATCTACAATGCTGTAACATGTGTTGTAAATATGGAATGAGTAAAGAGCAAACCTATTCCTGTTATTGTTACTTCTTCATATATAATCAAAAAATGTCCAAGGCAGGAGTGAGGTGTCAATTGCCATTGGCATTGGATTGATGATCATGTCTCTGAGTTTAGGATCTACCCTTTCTTAAGAATTCATTTGAGAATCAGCAGGGTTTCTTTCTACAGAACTGTCAGCCAGTTAAAGTCACCCCTCAAGCTGCAGGACACCTGCTTATAATAGTTCCAGTCTTGACATTGATGTCTATAGTGCATGTTACTTATCTATGGCCAAATGATCTAATGAGGCCTCTCAAATCCCTCTTTTCTATTTTTTCGTCTGGACGTCTGTCTTCTTCTTGTATAAAAGTTACTTGTTAAGTCTGGTTTTATGGCAATTCTCTTAACGCTTTAGTTTTGCCTCTCACACTCACAGTAATAAATAATAGTTAGAATATCTACATACTCACCTATCACAGCTATGCCCAATCACAAAGACGATCTTGTCTTAATAAACTTCAAGTTTAAAGTGACTGACTAAAACAAAAAACATTTCAACCATCCATACAAGGAAATGACAGGTACCCTTACGTCACATCCGACAAAGGTACAATCCGAAGAACCAGACGTTAGATGTAGAAAAGAGGATATTAAAGTTTATAAAATTAGTATACAGCACTGAATCTTTGGCAATCGATTCGGGTTCATTTCAGCATAACTTCATTTGTAACAAACTATAATTCCATACCTTACATAAATGCATTTACAAAAATTTATGAAAAATTAGAAGGTCAAAACCAATCAATTAATAAAAATATCAAAGACTTCGGATTATACAATTCATTGATCTTCTTAACCTTCTTCTTAAAGAGTTCCAGAACGGTGTCAATAGAATACAAATTCCAAATCCCCAAATTGACCGTAATCCTTTGAAAAGAGACAACCACATTTTTAATGGAGTACTTGAAATATTTTGTTATTGTTTATGAAAACAAAAAGTTAAAAACTTGAGTCTAAATCATACATTGAAATTATTGTTTATAAATATTTGTATTTGTCAATATGTGATTTAGACCCACCCATATCAAATCAAGACAAGGGAGATAACAAATTTTGAAAGTAATTCAACCAACGAAAAAATAGAAATAAATTCGTCGAGGGGTATTTAAATAAAACTTCCGCTTGCTCAAACGTGTGAAAATGAAAGCATTTTTGATATTTTGCGTTTTTATTTCTTCTATTACAAATTGTCATTCATTACTTGAGTGGTTGTTTGGTGAAAAAGGTGAAAGCATAAATAATAATGATGAAAATCATCCATATGATGAAAATGATGTCAAATACGAAGTTGTCACAACTGATAAAAAATTTCAAGAGTTTGCTAATACATTGACTGATGTCAATCCACTAGATGCCTGTTACAATATTGTAAGTTTATGCCCTTAAAGGCCTATTCAAAAATGTGATATGCCTGCAAGATAGAGAGCTCTCTCCTACTAATTTAGTTGGCTTAGCCTGACTCAGGCCTCTAGTAGCCTAGTTCAATCCTGTCAAATAAATAGTCCTTCTAAGGCTAAGTGATATTGCTCAATATGGACTTCACCAATAAATACAACTCAAGTTCTGCTATCAGAATTTTATCCAATTTCATATTGGAAACAAAACTATTGTTTATGTTGACATTTTCTCAAGCAGTTATGACTGGTTACACCATAATCTCAATAATATCTGCTTTTAAGAATAGAATAACTGTCTGAAATTGTTGAATTATGTAAGAGAACTTGATGTCAGATTTAATGAAAAGACAGACGGATAGCTGGACTTGAAATGTAACAATTTAGATAACCATATAGGGTTTACAATGCAGTAAGGACAAGATATTACCGTAGACAACATTATTTGTAAAGTTTCTATAGTATGATATGGTATTTCACTAGGTTGTTTATAATCTAAAGAAGAAGTGTGGTGAATTAACAGAAGATGAACTAGGAAAGTTAGCAGTTCAGTTATTTAACTGTCAATCAGAAGCTGAGAATAGACCAGTGTTTCCATGTACTTCAACTATGGTAGGTGTGTTTGAGGTGGTCAAGTCACTAACACTGAGTGTGCCTACGAATTTTTGTTTACCTTTTAAGTTTTTTTTTTTTTATACACAATACATTTAATATTTTAATTTCAAGACTTAATTAATTCTGCTTCTTCTTCTTCTTTCAGCAGTCAAATGCATGTAAATTGATATAACATCAATGAGTTATTTTATTTTCTTAATGCACAGTTTTGTTGCCATTTCATCTTTGTTGATGAAAGCATTAAAAAAATGTATTGCTTAAATAGTGAATTGCTGATGTATTGCAGACATTAGGTGAGTGTACCAAGAATATGGATGCTACAACATGGAATGGGTATCAGATAGTTGGTAATAGAGCTAGAGCTATGTGTTATTCAGCTCAACAAATAACATTTAGAAAATTAACAGAGAAAACTGTCAGTAATTTGGCTGCCACAGCATACAATCATCTTGAATCTATGAAAGAATTAAAGGTAATAAATATGAGATAAATACTGCAGCTATTGTATTGTAATCAAATGCATATAAAATTTTTTGTGGACAATTTTAAACTGAAGATAGATAGTTCTCTGTTGATTTTTTGCAATATTTTTTAACGTGATACAAAAATGTGGTAATAAAAAAAATGTATATAGTCCAAAGAGATATTTGAAAAGGATTAGAAAGCTTTTGCTCATAAAAATGCTTTAATTTATTTTCCAGAAAGGACAAGATCAAATACAGCAGTTAGCTACAGACACAGTTCGCAAGTTATTTGAGAGTCAACAAGACTTGTTAACAACACATGAATCACTAAAGATAGCACATCAAGATGTGTTTACACATGTAGCAAATAATGTGAAACAGTTGGTTCATGAAAAATCTCTTATAGCCGCTGGTAACAAAGAATTAGCCGAAATGACAGAAAATATCAGAGAAAAATTAGGTAGGTTCTTCAAAGGGGCAGATGTGCCATTTTAGGGGGTTGATTTTAGCCTTGAATATATGTAAATAGTCTTTTCTATATATCACAGAGTATCTTAAATTGACGAGTCATGATTTTAACACAGGTGGTGAGCTGTGACCACTATTATTGATTAGCTCAGCTAAAAAATTCCAGTTTCTGACATTAAAGTATGATTGGTCAAAAAAAATGGCATACCTGTCCCTTTAATAGCATAGGGTAATGTGGATGTCCATCTGAGTCATTTAGTGATCAAACGAGAATGATAATAATCTGATTGTGATCGCGAATTGTGAGTTGTCTTTGTACCTTTTTTTGTAAATCAAAGTATGTGAATTGGAATATCAGCTTAAAAGTAGCGCTGATAGTTTTAGAACGACTTTGCATTGATAAGATATTACCATGTGCACACATTATTATTTGTATAAGGTTTTTCTGAAGACGATTTTCTGCCAAAATTTTCTTTAGTTTAAATTTCTTCAGGAAGGAAGTGGGATTCATGTTGAATTTAAACTAACAAAGTTTTATAGTTGTATAAATGCAAAGTCATTCTAAGATTATCATTACTATTTTTAAACTAAAATAATGACTTAAATTTGTTTTAACAGATGAATGTGTGAAGTAGATAATGTATGTTATTTATGTTTGGGGTAATTTGTGAAGTTATTATTGTAATTTTTATTTTCAGATAAAACCAGTGAATTTTTACAGAAACAAGAAGAAATTCAGAAACAGAATCATAATAAAATATTGGATGATTTGAAAGAAATACAGAAAAAGTCACATGATGCTCTGAAAGACTTGAGTAAGAATTTGTTTTGTTAGATATAACTGATACTTACAGTTATCATGTAGCACTTGAGTATATTGATATTGATTCATGTTTTGTGTGACTCAGAAAAAACAGTAACAGTTTTCATTTCCGGATTATTCATTATTAAGTATGAAAGCTATGAACATAAATATTTGACTTCAGAATAAGAGGGATATTTGACATCTTTGGATACTGAAAATGAAAAGAATTATTGTTTTTCTTTGCTACAGGATATATATTTTCAATATTTCAGGTGGCAGCACTAAACAGTTGATTTATAATCATGATGAGATGATGCATCAATATGAGATTATGTTTACCAATTTACGTAAAATGAATAGTTCTATAAATAGCTTGTTAAAAACTGTCAGTGATATGCAGGTAACATTAGAGACTAAAATTGGTTGGATATCAAGTTTATTAGGCGGAGCTGGTAAATATTATTTTCTAGACTTTTCTGTCCTTAATTAGTCAACTCAGCAATTCCCCTGCAATAAGACGAATCTTGTTAACTTATTAATACCAAACTGCTTACTTTTGTTTTGTGTTAGCAAAAATAGAATTTTATTTGTGCATAAATCATTCAAAATGTGAAAAGAACAAAGTAAGATATCACGGCCATGGCTAAAAAGATGTTAATTTGGCTTTCATATTTTATGATATTTTCAATAGCAAAAAAGTGGACTTACATGCATTCTGACATAAGACATGTATTTTGTATTGTTTATATATTTATACAGTAATTGAATGTTATTTATATTTCAGATGATAAACTATATGTTATAATGAGTTGTATTTATCATGTTGGTTTGTTTATATTATTGGTGATATTGGCTACTTTCTTTCAAATACCATTATTACTGAGGTCTATATTAATGGTAATGATCGTGGTAGATGGATATATAGAGATTAATTATAATTTAACCTTAACTTATACTGTATTAACTGCCATCATGTTGTTCACATTTATAGGTGAGAATTTTTAAGGTTTTGGTGATTCTCTGTAGACTCTTTTAATCACAGTTGTTTGCCCGGCAGAAAGTATCTACTGAATAAAATCTCTTCTTTCATATGTAAATTCCTAAATACCAATGTTATGCTAACTGTTGCTAAACCTCGGCTCTTTTCCTTGGATATAAATCATAAATCTTCAATATGAAATGCTAAGAGATGTAAGTGTGAAAGGTTAAATATATTTTATGTGAAGGAAAAGAGAAAAAAGCCTTAGCAACTGACAAGTTGATTCAGGTTAGTTTCATCACAATACAATTTTTATCTATATTATATCTCGATTTAACTAATGCATTGGTTACTATTTTGAATACTACTACTATTGTAAGTATATGACTTGACGTTTTTTTGCAGCACACTGGATAATAACATGGGTAAAATGGCGTAAGACTGGTAAAAGATTTATACCTAGAATTAGCTACTCTAGAGCAGATAATGATAACGAACCTTTATCACCTAGTGAATTACGTGAATTATCATCAACATTGGGTAGATTATATCATTCTAGTAAGTTATGTTATCATCTTTAACTGTTGATGAAATAATTGTCACAGAAGTCTATTGATTTTGAAGTGAAAATCAAATTAAAAGATTGAGTTGGTTGGATTGCTTTCAGATTTGCCACAGAAAAATTGATTTTTCAGCGGTAAACTGTTATTTTTATAAGACATTGACTTCTGCTTTGAGAAAAGGAACTCAACTGTTGCAACTTGTGCACATATAATTATTTGTGTCTTGTTAAACTGCTACAGTCTAAATTGAAATTGAAAAAATAGTAGGCTAATGCTTACTTCAAATTTCCTTCATTCACAATTCAAGGCAATTACTTGACTTCATTTTATATAGTAATCAGTAATTTTTAGTCAATGAAAGTTTAAATATTAATACCACTACTGAGAATTGTAATGGTAATACCAGAACAACTACTCCGGTACCATCACCCAGTTACCATCACCACTCACCATCAATCATAACACCATCACCAGTTAGATTACGTACATCACCAATAAATACAGCTAATACATCACATCGCAATATTAATCCTATACCAGAGGAGTCTGGTTATTCGGTAAGCAGTGAAAATTTATATTGGAGACCAATTGCAGTTACTGTTCTGTGGAGTTTTACAGGATGGCTTGGATTCAGAGATAAAATACACTCAATGAAGTAATGACTTCCTTTATTCAGGCTAACCACATGTCTCTCAAGGGAGATAACTTTTAATCCAGACTTGATATCTTCAGACCACAATATTACAATATGATAGACCATAATATTACAATATGACCTTTAGAATACCTAGAAACATTGTGTTGTTAGCACTATAATGTGCAACATATGATACTTGATTTTATTTAGCTCTGACAAAGTTTTCTGGTTGTCTGGCTGCATCAAGGAAAAGCATCTAGCATTGGCTACATATTTAACAAACATTCTAGCTTGATTAAATCAAATGTTTTCAGCTTTTTGTTAACCACAATGTCCAGAGCAATTTCAACAGCTGTAATCAAACACCAGGAAACTTTACAAGTTCCAATACAATCTAGACTATACCATATACAACCTAGGCAGTATTAAAATTAGACCAAGCTTTCATTCCACTGTCATGAAACGGATGAATGTTCAATAGGCCCATCTTTAGACCTTAACTGAAATGGTTAATTAAAGATAAATGCTGATAATAAAACAAACAAATTTTTTAATTAGGCTGATGGTTTTTTTCTTCTGTATTATAGTATAACTGTTTATTCCATTATTCTTTTGAAATTTCTTTTTACAGCCAAATATATCTGATGTGAGAAGGTTGTTAGTAAATCAATTGGGAGATGGTTTAAGATCCTCATATTCTAGATCGTCAACACCATCAACTTCTAGAAATAGTTCAAGGTATGTATTCTTGATATGTTATGGTGGGAACTTAAATACATTAAAATCTCCATTCCTTATTATCAAATGTAAAAGGAGGCCAACATAGCTTAGCCATGATAACATTGCTTTCATTTGATGTCATTGAGTCTTAGAAGATAAGTCATTCTGTACCTTCTATCTTCCCTTGCAATTTCCATTTAACTTTGTGGTGCCTCTGCACAATTCAATATATTTGTAGGGGCAGAAGGTATGCCTATTAACATATTTTGAAAATATAATTCATTATGATATATTGTATTTCAGAGCTTCCACTCCTACGTCTGGTAAAAGATGTAGAGGAATAACAAGAGCTGGTTCTTTATGTAGACTAACAGCTACAGTAGATAATGATTATTGTTATAAACATAGATAAATATTTATATTAATTTGATTTTCTCTTGATTTTATAATTCAATCACTGTAACCTGTATTGTTCAATAATGACAGTTAACAGAAGTAAATAACATTCTCTGACTTTAGTCAAAACTCAAAACATACCTTCATATCTGTCAAAAATTTTTTGCATTATGTAACCTTCAGCTTTATTAATTATGGGCATTGTTGATTTTTATCTCCATTTCAGGGAGAAAATTTGAAAGAAAGGGCTGTATTTAATTTAATTCATATATGAATTTTAGAAAAAAAACATGTATAATTTCTTTTCCCAACTATATCTTTAATAATACAATACTTTCGTATGCTGGACTTCGTATGCTGAATTTATAATTAGTCTATTCATGATTGTTGTTTTTGGTGATAGTTGAATATGATTGTGTAATGATTTTAATGGGGTGCTGCCTAGACTGTTATTGTATTTAGATATTATGAATGATATGGACTGAGTAATTATGAAATGTATGCATTGTGTTAATGTTATTGTATCTATAGATCAAGTATCTTTATGATCAGCTGGTTTATACTCAGATGACACTTCTAAAGTTCCAATTTCTCTCCAATAAGATTAAGCTACTTTCATATCTTGGAAAAGAAAGAATTATGTGTAGTTAAAGCATACCATTTTTGTCTCTCTATTTTTGTTAAGTCGTGAAAAAAAATAACCATTTTTTTTACTCAGATAGAATCAACATTTATGTGAAAAGTTGGTCTGATGAATGTAGCTGTGTTGTATTTGTGCGTGTTTGTTAGATATTTTGTTAGGAGAGATAGTATACTGTTTGTTTGTAAACTCACGACTTTAAATGATGCAATACAAGTTTGATTATTGTCTATAGGTGCTATATTGAAAAAATATACCATTGTATATGATTCTGTATCAAATATAACAGATAAATTGATATAAATTTACCCAAGATAAATCTATTCTTTGCTTTATGTCTTTGTCTTCTTATCAGAGAGTATAGTAAAAGAATTACAACAAACACCCAATTGATAATGTAATGAAAATAAAAATGATAAATCACTAAAAGAATTACAACAAACACCACTAATATATGATGATAATGTAATGAAAATAAAAATCATGAACCAGTCAAAGATATATAACAAACACCACACGATTAATTAATTAATCACGAAAAGATTTACAACAAACACCACTATAATAATGTAATGAAAATTATAATGATACATCACTAAAAGATTTACAACAAACACCACTATGATAATGTAATGAAAATAACAATGATAAATCACTAAAGGATTTACAAGAAACACCACTTTCAATTAATGAATAATGATATAATCACAACAATGTACAACAAACATCAACATAAGATATTTTTATTTTGGCTACATCACTAACGTTGACTAAACGCTTAAATGTAAAGCGGCATATGTGTAAACGTTTTTTCAAAAGATATTTCTATTAAAATAGCATGCTGATTTTCTACGCGATTACTTACATGAGTTTATTATGACGTCATACTATTATAATAAGATTGAAGGTGCTAAAATAATTATTTTGAAATCTGTCCTTGATTCTTTGAACCTATATCAAAGAGTATAATCAGCTAGACGTCGTGTACGTACCGGAGCCACTAGAAGATGACCAACGTCTTCACTAGAAAATCCAAGTATCCACGGGTCACGACTTTAGCTGACTATAATGGACATGAAGCTAAAGAAGTTGCAAAATTGCCGCGCTTACCATCCGCAACTAGAGTGGGCAACCCCCACCCAGCAGGGTTGACTTATCAGGCTCTAACAAGTGATGTGGTAAGTATGATGGACTTTGCAATCGTAATAACATAAATTCTTTCTAAATTTTAGAGCTATCTTTTATCCTACATTATAAGAAAATTATTCTTCGAAATGGCATAGTTGTTTGATTTATATTATCGGGAACTATATCCTCGGGGTCATTGTGAACTGACAGATTTGTTGGTCAAGACTTCATTAGCCATGGCAGTGAAATATTTGAAAATTCCTTACAATTACAAACCAAAATTACTGGAAAACATACATTTATGGCTATTGTTCATTTGCATTCACACACCAATTTCGATATAAAGTCAAGTTTAAAAAAAACCTGAAAATTAAACTCATTCGTCTCATATATACATAACCATATTAGGCCTACTGAGTTTCTGCACGATGAAAACTGTAGCACACTTATCAAAGACAACTGAAAACTATTCATTAACAGATCGTTTAAATCACACATAAATCGGTTAGAAGTGGCATATTCGTTTCTGTATAAGAGGTTACGGGAGAGGACACCTAAAATCCTTTCAAATTCAGAAGTAATTAAATTTATCTTTTTTTCCAGAAAGTGAGCATTTGGAATCCAAATTTTTACAAATATGATCAGAGAGTACCAAATATGATGGAACATTTGGGTAAAATGATATATTATGTTTATTATTTCTTGCTCATTTGTGTAGTGCTATAAAAATATTAGACACGATATTTGGGCTTGGAAAGTTCAAACTTGTTGGTATGGGAGACAACTACATTCAATCATGTCATTTTTATTGTGTTCTGTAGTCTTTATGTACTTACTTCACCAGATTGACTCAATGTCAACAATTTAAATCTTTATCAATCGGTCTATAGGTATACAAAGGATTCAAAAGAGGTTTTCTATTATTTGTATGTGCACCCTTCTAAATGTTATTTCCGTCATAATTTGGTCTGGTTTTTCTGGAACTACTTGATATACATTCGTCGGACATAATGCAAGGTGTAAATAATGTAATCAGGACTCTTTGAATCCCTTTTAATTTAAATATTAATAATTTTTTCAATATCACTATCAAACAGCATTAAAAAAAACTACAAAAAAACTCATATCACTATAAGTTGTTGTTTTCTTACAGACCGTGTAAATTTTTCATGTGGTAAATTGACGTATGCTCCAAGAAGACTTGGTAAATATTTATTATAAAAATTATATGGTATATCATGTTTTTTTTCTAATCAATATCTGTAAAAAACATCATGATCTTGAGCCAATAAGTCAGTTAGTGTTATACTGATATCTCTACATAATTGCGATCTTTCACAAGCTTCTACTAAACTATCAACCTATACAACTTAAACCAATCCACGAATCTGTCTATATTTCATTTCCAAAAAGAGAACAGATATGTACCAAAACCTCAATTCAAAGTCCTCAAAGCTATCAAACCGATGACTAAATATTATCAACCCCGGACAATATCGATCATTGTTATTTAATAAGTTATTCATTGCCCTAATAGCTATTGATTTATGATGATGTTCTTGTTTTAAAGGCAAGATGCCGAACATAAAGTATACAGAATCAACTGTATCTAGAGTCAGCTACCGTAATCCTTATTTACTACCAGCATTAGACAGCAAGATGAAATCCACAAGATATGGTTATACACCAATCAGTCAACAGGCGAGAGGAATAGGTTAGTTCTTGTAACTCTCAGAAACAAAATGCACCTTTTAAGACAATTTTGACTGACTTATTACCAGTAAATTTTTTTAGAGCAATGATTTACACCTAGTATGCAAACGTTTCTATTTTCTTTTTCAGTTCCTGACTTGTCACCACCTCGTTACAGAATCATTGAGCCAGCAATATAATAATATACAGCATGCCATAGACTAATCCTGTTGATTTTGGCTTCAACAATAATTGAGGGACATGTATATTTATCCACCATAGGACAAAAAAAAAATAAGAACATTTTTATGTTGGTTTTAAAACCATTGTTTTTATTTGTTAGTTTCATCAACAATAAATAAACAGTAACAAAAGAATATCAAATTTTTTAAAACATATTCAATATCTTTCAAGTCTGTCTGAATTCACAGAGAAACACAAGGTTCAAAATCCAGCTAAGCTTTCTAGTTTTCTCCTGATTTTGTAAACACAGGAGTAGTAGTATATATGTGACAGTCTATCATTGATTTCTATTACAACAAAGTCTTCATATACTGTATATTAAGTTGACTACCATGTAAAGAATGTATTAAACATTGTGTATTATTCACTATGTGCCTTAGAGAATTTCTCCATACATTATTATTTAACTTGTGTATGTACCTGCAAAATAATTATTACAAAATAATTATTAATATTAAATCAATATCAAATTTCCATATATATGAATATAATCCATACTGTATTACCAACAAGAACAAATCCCTAGTTTATTGTGATACTAATATTAATCATGATAGCAGTAATAATTGTGATATCTCACCAGATATCCAGGTCTAGTACAGAACATAAGGTCTTGGTGATGCTTTCAGAAGACAGTCAAGTCCAAGCAGCAACACACAGTCTGCATTCATATTCTTGCTTATCTTGCTTGTGTCAAAACTTGGATTGATTCTTACCTATTCAAGGCTTTAAGTACTAAATCTACCAGTTCTAAATTTTTATCTAGTATCAGTTGACTTAAATAATTAGTTATAACTTCTACATCTTCTTCTTGAGGAACTATAATAGTCAAATACTGGAATAATTGTATTAAGTAATAATTTAAATGACTTTACTAGTAAAATAGAACAAAACATGAATGGAAATTTCATCCAGTTCTAATAATACATACAGTATAAATGAAATAAATGGAAATTTCACTCAAACATCCTTATCAAAAAATATCAATGGAAAGTTCAATCAATTAACCAGTCCACATAGGGTATTACCAGAATATGAATGTATATATGGCAAAAGTCAGCACCTGTATCTCATACAATATCATACTTACCGGGGCAGCTGTTAAGCCATTCTTTTAACAAATTTCTCACATCTTTAATATGTACAGCACCACATAAATTAATTTCTTCAGCAACTGGTTTAGTTTCTGGTTGTGCTTCTGCTACATTTTCATTATCAAAACTAGCATTCTCTGTTAGTCTAGGACCAATACCTGACACATCATCTTCTATAGAAATCAATACAGTATCGTGATCCACCTACAATTACACAACTGACATGTAATTCAATACATTAATTCAAATAGAACTTAGGGCAATACAATTTCTATGTAAATTATTCATTCTTCAATCCCATTTGAAAATCTAGCTGATCATACTCAATCATGTAAAGTGTTCCTGATAGGTCAGCAGATGCACAGCCTTGCAGCTACTACGTCTAACTATCATACTTATATAATGATGGTCAATTTTCTATAGAAAGAACAGCTTGTCTGTCTATTGAAACAATAATGTTTCAACTTTTTCTTATTGCACAAATTTATAGAGTCAGAAAAACTTTTAGCACATACTTCTTTTTGTTCAATTGATTTTGACTTCTTATTTGAGAAAGATAGTTTTTTTGGACTAAGTTTACGTTTCTTTGTAGCTCTTCCTTTAGGTACTTTAAATAGTGGACTTTTCTTGGATTTACTGGGAGATGCTAGTTTGGTAGGTGATTTGTGTTGCATATCTGCTTGAGTTGTCTGATGTTTGTAAGCAGACTTCAGTTCATCTTGTAACTCTTTTGGCAAAGCATTTAAGCAATCTAAATCAATCTACAAAACAAAAAGACAAAACCAAATCATTATTTTACATTGTTATTGGTCACTGACCAATGGTTAGCATAAAGCAATCAGTCTCAATTTGGTAAAGAATCTTCAAACAACCAAAAACAGGTTTGTTATTGTCTAAATGATGATTTATCTTGCCACTAAGAAACCACAACAAAAATGAAATGATGGTAAGGTATACATAGTAGACAATTGACCATAGAAGTTAGTCAAGAAGTTATTAACCTGTGATGGTGAAGGTAAAGCTACTATTGGTGTATCATCTTCAGGTGATCTGGTTATCATATCAGTAGTGACAGGATCTGGCCAGTAAGAACAACCCGCCTCTTGACTATCATGTATGATGGTAGATGATTTACTAGTGTCTGGTTGTTTAGATTTTATTTCCTGTTCTATTTGTCGACGTATATCTGGTGGTAGTTCTTTTAACACCTCTTGATCTATCTAAATAATCAAATCCAATGATTAGTACTGTTTTCAAGGTTCCTTGTTTTCCACAACTAATCTTCTAATTAACTAATTCTAATTCTATAGCATTCTTGAACTATCAGCTTAAGATATATAAGAATATTCCTCAGTTAAAATCATTATAGGAATCAAGACTACAAAATAGATTGTTGTACAGTGTATTTTAGTAGATCTGAATATATCAATATACAAAGTAAAGTTTTCTGTTATATGTATGAGTTAAGGATTTCTAGTGTGTTAATATTACCCACACCTGTGATGGAGAAGGAAGAAAATCCAGGGTTGAACATATTGCTGTTGCTGAGGAGTTACTTCTGGTAGAGAATGGAAGAAAGCCTGATTCAGGTGGTGATGGGGTTGATTCAGGAGAAGTAAAACTAGGTAATGTTGGTAGTGGTGGTAAAAATCCTTTTGCTGTTTTACGTCTGGAGATACAAAACAATAGCAAAATCATTAACAGCAGATACAAATACAAATCAACAATTGTAAAAAGATTATTATAATTTTGTAATTAAATTTTCATAATGGCCTGTTGCTCCTACAAGAATGTATTATGTAATGGTATATGATTGAAAGCTCATCTGTTCCTGCTGTCACATCTTCCAGATATAAAACATCATCAGTCCACACTACAATGTATAAGTAACAAAAAAATCTCCATATTAATTCAAAGATTATTTAACAGACTCTGAAATAGACAATACCTTGATAACTCGTCCACTAGAGTATGACCACTCATTAAAGTTATCCGATGTTTTTCCACCAAAGATTGAGATAGAGATGAACTCCTCTTCTCAGTATCTTCACCATAGAAATCTTTATAAGCATTAGAATCAATCTCCGGTACATTATCTCCCTTGAATGCACCTCTTTCACCCTTCTGGACAGAAGATCTTTGCAGAAATACATCAATATCATTCATTTTTGGCACCATTGTTGGTAGAGTTTTAACACTACGGCTTTTGTTAGGAGATTGAATTGGTTTACCAGCAGGTTTATCAGGAGATGTTTTCTGGGCAACAGTGAAGTTGAGGATACTTTGGTGTCCACATGCAGACTTGTCAGATTTGATACCTGCTTCAGCTTCTAGTCTGGTCACTTGAATTCCTATCTAGAGAAACAAAGAACAGGTTTTACATCGAAGGTCATGGTCAAAATTAAAGAGGGTGGGTAAAAGTATTTGTAATTCAGACATAAAACAAGATATTTATTTTCCAAATGAGAGCAACTTTGAACTCGACTGGAACTAAAGCTAAAGGTATCCCCAGGTTTGTTTTTAAAAGCTAAGATTTGATCTAGAAAATAACTCACCCCTCTTAAATCAGTAACATCAACTTTTAAAGCATGTAAAAGCATAAGAGATTCCTTGGCTATACAACTAGCATCATCAGTGGCTAGAGGTAGAGTTATAGATCTAGATAAACTGTTACAGATACCATGCCCTGGAAAATATTATTATATCTACATCGCAAAAATCACAAAATGCTTAGATTCAGTGGAATTGCAAGACCTAAATACGCCTGAATGGTACAAATTGATGCTGTCAATGTCCCAGTTATACAGTAAAAACTTCTTTACAATCCCTGTTATTCTCTTAAGCAGGCATAAGAAATCAAACTCACCCATGAATTTTGCTGTTTCTTTAGGAGCATCTTCTCTACGTACTTTGAGCTTTAAAGTAACAACTTTTCCTTTTCGTTTGACTTTCTGAAGACGATTATGAACTTCCTCTGACAAATCATTAAAGAACTTGACACATTCATGTTCCTGAAAATAAACAAATGGTTTCAAATACTAAAAAACCTATCCTCAGTTAGGCAGGAAAAGGGAATTTAGTTTCGAATGTAAAGGATATTTGCAAAGTAACTGATCTCAATGAGTAGTCAACAATGACTACAGTCAGCCAAAGATGTACACTAATATATACTTCGTAATGTACACAATTTCCATTGCTTTTTTTTCTACCTGAGTTGTACTGTTCATGATTTTTATAGCACATAAATATACTTTAAGTCTGTATCCTTAAAGTTGATGGACACAACAGCTATACCTACTTTTTGAAATCTGATCCCATAATTAATTTCAGCAGACACCGATTTCCTTTCATTCTCCATTTTAATTGGTCTATCATCAATTCCTCGACAAGAATTATACAAGGATTGACCTGTTTTGGAACCAAACTCTTTCTGTAATGTTGATAATGGCACACTCTGCAAATCACCACAAGTTTTAACATTCATATTGGATAACTTCCTGTTCATAGACCACCCAACACCTGAAATTAAAACAAACCGTCCCTGTCCAAAATTATGAAATCTAGATTTAGACTAATCTTTATAAAACTGTTTCTTAGCAATTTTGTGTTTTATAACTAGCTTTAACAATTTTTATAATCTTAAAAACATCTGGTTTGATGAACCATGACATTTGTGTGCATTAAAAAGATAGTCAAAAGGGAACCATGATCATCTAAAAACTAACCATTCAGATATATTGGAAAATTTATATACAAGTAAATAAAATGGAAAGCTCTATCAATCTCTCACTCAGTAATAAACCCTGTATCTCATCTCTAAAAACATAATATGATATAATTATATAAGAGCTTCTGTTTATACAGACCTGGTAGATCTCTAACAGAGACATCTTTAATAAACTCTAGAACATCATAACTCTCTACATAATACTGTCCATTAGGTTTGGCATTCCTGGTAGCTAACTTGGCTAGTAGTACATTTGATCCTGAAAACAAAATATCATCAAATTTCCTGAATCAAGAAAATTCCCTTAAATATTCCTCATAGAATCATTTGATGCCCAGACAAGAATGCACATCTGTGACAATAGTTAGTTATAGAATGGCTTTATCTGTCAGCTACAAGTGGATTTTCAACTAGATTTTGTTAAAACCACATATTTGTTTATCCAAAGGAGCCAAGCCTGGTGTGCAACCCCTAAAATGTCCCGAATTTATAAGAAATAGTCTGGACTGATAAATCCAAATAATGCTCATTAGAACATTTACTGACAATGGTAGACAGACATGTAAATACAACTATATCCGACAATAACATGACAAGCACAGTAACTTATACCTACCTAATCCAGTAGATGCAGTACAACCAGATTTAGTATATATTTCTTGGCGTAATATTGAGGTAAAGTCTAGTGGTGTAACTCCAGTATCAGAGAGTAAGTCTGTACAATCTACCAACATTTCATCACAACTTACAGCTTCTATATCATGGGTATAGCTAAAACAATATCTATTAGGTTACAACCAACAATATCAATATGAATTTCCTTGAGTCTTACAGGAATACAGTGTAAGTATTTGATCACATATTGGTACTTTATCAAATTCAAAGCTTAACCATATAATAGATTACACATGAATTTACAATGACATAATGATAATTAAATATATCATTTTCAATATACCATCCTTATATACCAAGATTTAACTCAAATTCTCTGATGAAACAAAGGCTATGCCTTGGTCTTGGCATCAAAAAAATTATTAATAAATATTCTATTAAACATTACCTCGCAACTGTGTCATATAATATTGTGGATATTTCTTGATATTTCTCAAAATTATATGGTATCGTTTGAAGTTCTGGACAAAGTTTTTTAGCTGGCCCCATGAACATGCCATTTTTAACTCCAGCCTTAAAGAGAAAACAGATAAAGCAAAAGAACTACGGAAAAGTCAATATTATTGGAGCTATAATTCTAATTCTATCATCTGTTAGTAAGAAAGTCATATTCACTTGAATTCCAATAAATTCTTATCCAATATCATACCTTACAAAATCTGTCAATTAATGAAATTTCTACATACCTTTCGGGCTTCATAACTACAAGAAGCTATTTCTGCCATTGATGTAAAAGTATCAAATGATTGTAAATCTACTGGAAGCTTCTCATAGACATCACCAAGTTTTTTCTTGCCTTTTAAATGCCATTGCTGCATTTCAAAGTGAGGATCTGATCCAGGGATTGGGGCTGACATTCCTTTATTTTTAGAATGTGTAACACCAACTGGTTTACCTGAAAAGCAGAAGTGTTTTAACTGCAGCTTGCTACATACAGTTGATACTATAGTCATACCATGACAACATAATATCTACTAACAAAATATTTTACATTCAGGAAGTATTACAATTTCATTATACCTTGATACCAATTTAAGTAAGTATTAACAAAACTGGCACTAAAATGATTGGTGTATATTTTTCTTTGTTAGCTACATAACGATTTTTTTAAAGTGATTGTGTAAATAAATTGATCTTCTTACCTCTTAGATCTGGTCTATCCAATAGACCAACAGAAACAAAGAAACAGTCCATATCAATATGCATAATAACACGTTCTGGTCTTCCTCGTACAGATGCATGAGATTCAGATTCACCAGTTCTTAACAAGGATTCTTGATGGAATTCTCGTAACTTGTCTCGGCCAGGAAAATTATCAGAATTTTCCGATTGTAGCTTGGTAACATATGCTTTCCACTCAGCTCCCCATGTTGATAGATGATGTAAACGTGAATTGCCATAAAATTCAGACAGAAAGTTAGAATCTCCTGCTTTGGCCATTTTAGCCGGTGAGTGTCCTTTTGAGGTACCGGTATTTGAAACATTTAGAGCTTTAGATGGATCTAATTTGTAAGGAGATTCTAAATTTGAGACAGAGTTGGATTGGTCTAAGGATCTACTCTCTGAATATTGAGATTTTATCCTGTCTTTTTTCAATGACAATGAACGTTTTACAGCTTGCTCATGGTTATTATCCTTTGCAGAACCATTTTCTTCGGAACCTCTTCGCACAAACATTTCTGACAAATTATTATTATCTGACAAATTTCCATCACTTTCACCTTCTTCAAACTGGTTTCCTAAAATGGAATCATCTTCATCAGAAAGATCAGAGTCTGGGCAGACCTCAACATCCTCAGTGAAATTTCTGTACTGGTTAATTTGGGATTTGGATACGGTAGTTTTGACTTCACTGTCTTCTTCTGTAGATATGGATGATTTAGGAACAGAAAAGCCACCAATACCAGACTGTAATCGAGATTGTGCTGTAAACAGTTGATAGGGGATATATGATAACAGTTTCCCACATGATATACTGTAAAATAATACATAGTCAACTTCATAATATCATGGTTATTGTCTTAAGATTTTTAAAGAAAATTCATACTTCATTAGGTAGACCACCATTTTCTTCAGAACAAAAAAATATTTTGGATGAGTTTAGTATGGTTAGGGTTTCATTATCAAGAAACTCATTTCAGTCCTATTTCTCCATGAACAGCACCAACGATGTTTATAGAGCATAGGTCTAGATATTTATATAACAAAATAAGGTTATTATTACAGCATTATAAGTGAGATCCAATATGGAACCTCTACTTTCGCATGATTTAATCCAAAAATGCTCTATCAATAAGGATTTTAGTTAAGAAATTTAGTCTTTTAATCAAATGATAACGACCACTTAATATACACTAACCTATCAGTAATCCATTCTGGTTTAACTATTTTCATATGTTTTAAATCCTTAGATATTTTACTATTCGCCATACTGGTAGCTATAATATGTGTAACTTGTAATTTGTATAAATAATGTTGATACATTCCTCCATTCTCTATTACCATTCTCTTTAGTTCATCTGAAGATGGCTCTGAAAATGTAAATAACACAACAAATATCTGAACACCAACTTCACTGATATGAACCATAGAATAGTCTGTTTGATATAAAGATATTTCACATAGAATATATTTTCAATTTCAATTTGCTAAATGTCATACTATGCTCGCTGTTGTTACTCGTGCTGGAAACATTACTCTTAAACAATAAATAAAACTTTGTTAGATTTGGAATGATTATATGGGCTGTATACACATTGTCATTCCATAATAACATGACAAATCATCGGCAAAACACTGGAAGTTAAGACGACCACACCCCAGAAGACACAAAGATTTGTTCCTTACAACACTAAGGCAGATGAAGCTTGAAGGCAAATGCTCTATGATGTGTTTTGTCATTTCATTTAATCATTCAATTACATAATTCATGTCATAGAAAATTTATCGAAATCTAATTTACTTCCTACTTACTAGTATATCCATTTACATATATTGATATTCCTTTAAATATCTCTGATTTCAACCCATTTTTAGCATACTGTTGTCGTAACTTCTCTTGTTTAGCTTTCATATAACCACCCTAAATATAAAAATATACCCGTATTTAAAATGTGAATGTTGATTTCAATGTCACTCTCCAATGTCAATGTCAAAAGCATATTTAATTAACACGTCTGGATAGGTTTTTTCACTGGTTTTGTCTTAATTTTTATCCATTGTGCTCATTTTAAAATATAATTGACCTCAAAAAGATGTCAAACATCTGAAAGCCAGTGTTTCAGTTTAAAAATATGTCATCAAACTTTTCAATCAGCTTTTCATTTAGCTCTCCCTCTCAGTTTCTACAAAACAACTAATGCTTGAAACACCTACCCATTCTTCCCATCCATCTTCACTCTTTTTCAGTTTATCCTTTCCTCTACCTCTACTAGCCATTTTCTTTACTTTAAACTTGAGGTGTAATATCTGAAACGAATATCAATGATATGAAAATTGATGCAAATGTCGTTTTTCCAGCTACTTTATGGTAAACAGAAAAAGAAGAGGCCACACAGGCATAGGAAGAGACAATGAGTCTTGTCCTTCAAAAGAAATGATATCCATGTTCTTGAGATGAGACATTCTCTTAGTGAGATAATCCAACATCATAACACAGGTGTGCTACATAATTTTTTAATAAGAATTTTGCTGTTTGGTTAATGAGATATGACACACTACTATGCAAAGAACTAACCAAGACAAATATTGTGTCATTTATGTCATATTGTGCTAGACGTTACAACTATGGAGTGACTGCAAGAGAACAGTGAATAATCAGGCTAGAATTATGATATTTTGGTGAAATTTCCACTTTAACAGCGAATGTTGTGAAATAAAAACGAAAGTAGACTAATTACGCGCGCCAATATCTACAGCGCGTTGATGTAAGAGTTATGTCCCTTAGAACTAGACCTAAATAATTGGTCAAATACTTTTGAAATTTATGTTTGTATATAGTCGGTTGGTAAAATTATTCTGTACGGGTTGTCTAGCTGTTATGCAGTTGCCTTCAAGATATATTAAGCCAAACTTGGACAAGTTAGCCAAGGACAGGCTTTTAAAAGTTAATTTTTCATTCGCAGGTATCAGGAGCGTTATCGCTTACTTACAATAGGCTTAAGCAACACCCTTAAATAAACGGCACATTACACTTTTACTCTACCCCTCTTCCCGTTTTGGGTATTGACCTGAAACTTGCTAGAATACTAATAACGGACAAAAGTGCAACAATGTCAAGCAATGATAGGCCTACATTTTTCCTGCAGATATAGTGAGAAATTGTGGCTCGAGTAGGCTACCTATGCCAATCAAAGATGCCACTGTGAAATTATTTCTTCGATATATCTCAAATATTCAGACCTGATATAGGCCTATATCTAAAATATTCAGACCTGATTTTTATTTAAAATATTCAGACCTGATTTTTATCAAAAATAAGACTTAGTTTTAATTTCAAATCTAAAGACTTAATTTTCTATAATGTGATTGAGGTAACTGTCAGAAACGAAAGAATATGAAATTAATAAAGTGATAATGGTATGCCTAGTCTGACAATTTCAGAACTCAACGCTGATTGGACAGTGAAAATTTAATGGTTTTATATTACAGATATTCTGGTATTGTTTTAAGTGCAAATTTGGTCCTAAACTAGATAAGTAGCACTTGATAGATATTTTTGCCTGTTATCGGGTGGTCACAAATATAAGGCATCTATTTTTTATACCCTCAAACCATTAAAGTAAATGTACTTCAAGGAAGAAACTTTGTAAAAATATCGTTTGATGTTCCGTCGTAAAGGCAATTTGATTTGTTTGGTCAGGCATAATTTGGTCTGATTGTATTTCATGATGTTGACCTTTATAGAAGTGGCTATATAACTCGAGTCATACAGAAAGTGCTTTGGGAACATCATCTTCTTTTACCATTTTAAAATCTGATTTTCAAATTACATAGTTTGCTTTTCAAGTCAAATATCAGTGAGAAAATAAAGACAATATTGATTGGTCCCAGGTTGCTGTCAGTATAACTCGATGTATACAGGACATATGATTCAACAGCATATCATTGTCACCATAAAAATATTATATCACATTATCATGTCATACCCAACTAGCAAGCTGATACTGATCGGCATAGTGCATGCTTCTGTTGTCAGAGTGGAAAATGCAAAAGCACATCATCGTGGAAAACTCCGTCTACAGATTGATATTCAGTGACAACAATGATCAACAACAATTTGTTTTAAAGATGGGTTCCCTAAAATGTATAGGTGTTCTAATGACTTGGAAAATTACCAGTTTGTCTCACATGTCCATAATTAATTCACAATTAGCTAATTTAGGAGAAAATTACCAGCAGAATTCTAATGAGTGACCTGATCAAGAAAGGTCAAAAAGTCTTCTTTTGTTTATCCAGGCAATACATACATAGAAATTTATGATCGGTTAAAACACTTAATTTTATGCAAAAATAACAATTATTTGATTAAGAATACATGATAATTCACTAGAAATACTAATTATTTAAAAAGTTCGCTTAATTTGACACTAAAAAATAAGGAAACCCATCTTTAAAAGAGTGATTAAAAACGGAGCCAGCTAATTATTAATTCAGTAGTTTGATCTAGTTTTGATGTTTGGCTTTAAAATGGCTTGATATTTTTAGTTGAAACCTTCAGATTAAGTAGGAGACATATTTCTCTACAATGTGGTGTTGAGTTTGCTGAAATTTGCACATTAGTTTTCCAACACCAACCAAGAATTACATAAAACCCTTTAACTGTTTTTTTTTTGCGTTCTAACGTGAACGGCACGATACTAAAAGTTACAACATTCAGACATTTCTAGATTTTAGTGTACATGTATATAGTTTTCATACATTTGAGATATTTTTTTACTTCCTTTAAAAATCAGACTGCCCTTTAATACTCTTAGTGAATTTGCGTACAAAAAGACTAGCTCTGTTTATGATATTTAAAGGGCGTAAATGCTTTATGACGTCATCTCTATTATTCTGGATAACGTCGCAAGGCAAAACAGAAGCAATATTTACAACGCTCCACAATTTCATCAAATTCCAACGGATTTTTATATTCGCTAACGGAATTTTGAAGTTTATTGTGAAGAATTTGTAGATCTAGTGTATCTGATCAAGGTTAAGTATAACAGTGATTAGTAGCTAATTTAGAAACCTAACTGTCATGGCTATCGGATGTTGGTGTTGTTGCTCTCGTGATAGTGTGGATACCATCGACACTTACCATCATCCACTAGTTGATACAGTTAACCAGCAAACTACAACTGATGTTAGGCATGCCAACACAACAGTAGCTGGAAAAGCTATTAATAGCACAACAGGAAGACCAACACCCTCACTTCCACAGAACTCCACATCTACCAGTTCAAGCATTTCATCAAAAGAATCGATTGGGAATGCACCTACAAAAGCCAAAAGAATATCTGAAATGAGCAAAGGAAAAGACAACAAAGCGCGTCCACTTCCCATACCAAAGAACATCAAACCCATTAGTTGTAAAAACAACAAAATGCTCATTCGCCCACTTCCAATCCCACCGATTACAAAACTAAATGCTCCTTCTACAAATTATACAAAGAAGGAAGGTCGAAGTTCCCTACCACCAACTCGACAACATACCTCAACGAAGTATGTAAGTAGTTCAAAGGAGGAAGAGAACAAAACGGAAAATCGATGTCTTCAAGAAAAGCAAAATCCGAGCATTCTTCCAAAAGGAGTTAGGAAGAAGGAAAAAAAAGACAGACAGTCCAAAGAGAAGGAATCATTGAGACGAGCTTCAACAAGAGAAAGACCACATCAAAGTCGCCAAACCAGTACTGACAATGTAAGAAGTACAGAAATTACCAACAATGCCACAAGAGTGGTGCTTCGCGGCTTTGATGAAAATGGTGTTGAGTGCACTATTGTAAATGATGTTTATATTCCAAAGCTGGATCTGTCATGGTTGGATGAGGATGGTAAGCCAGTTCCAGTAAAACCAAAAGAGAAGAGACGGATCATTAAAAACCGTATTTTACGTGCTAAGAGAAAACGGGTGAAGCAAAAGGCGTTAGAGAGAGAACGAAATCAGCAGGGTACCAAAGTGGAAGAAAATCCTTCAATAGCTACAAGTGAAGTTGTGAATATAACACCAGTGAAAGAAACTTGCAACTCCACATGGACCTTATTAGAAGATCCTCTATCTTCAGCTAATGAAACTCCCAAAAATGATGTTGATGAACAAAGAATGGGTATGAGAGATAATCCAGAAAAAGACGACAAATCCAAAGGAGCGAAAGATGAGGGTGAAAGATACACAGAAAAAGGGAGACGATGGTCCAAATATGACAGAAAAAGAGAAGACATCGACCCCTCGAAGCTCCATTCTCTTCAAGCTAGTGTAGTCGACAGATACTATAAAGATTTTCTAACCAAGTATGAGGCAAAACAAAGAAAAAAGAATAAAAATCAGGAATCGGCGGCAAGAAATGTGGATGAAGAAGCAGAAGGGCAGAGGAAGACTAGAAATAATACACATGGAATTTCAAAAGAAGAAGATGAAATGGGATCAGGACAGCAAGACAGGAAAGAAAGAAGTGTAGTTGGAGAAGAAACGGAAGACAATGGTGTATTGGAAGTTGAAGTAAACTCTAACAGAAAGAGAAGGGAGAATTATGGTCAAAATAACAATGCTATAAAAGGATTCAACAAGGAATATCCTGACAAAAAATTCAATCATGAAAAGGTTCAGCATACAGATTACTCTGTTTTCTTGGCTGATTCAGCAATTACCACAGTCCAAAAGAACACCGAGGCAAAGAGAGCAGCTGAGGAAAAAATGGAAGCAGCAATAATGGAGACTGGATCTAGTGAGGTGTTTGAGGAAATTAAGAAAGAGAAAAAAAGCTTCAAACAAAAATTGAAGGACTTCAAAAACTATCTGATCTCAAAGAAAAACCATCAGCAAAGGAGGCA